CTCTTGTTCATCACCGGCAGAAGTGCACCACCACCAGAGGTAACTATGCTGAAAAATGGTGCTTGGTTGTTAGTTAGCTGAGAATGTGCTCTATCAAACAGTGCCACTGTGCTCTTTGGATCTGTTGCAGTTTCCACGGAAATTATTAGGAGGCATTACTTTTGGAGCAACCTACGTAGAGAGGACCCCACTGCACAGGTCTGTTCTCCAACAGCTGGCAGTTACAACCCTTTCCATATAAGGGAAATCAGCTTTAATACATTCACATCTAAGCTAGCCAGGCAAAGACATGGCTGGTCTTACAATTCAAGAAGGGAAACTACAATTGTCATTCTACCAATGACCATCACCCCCAACGATTTAAGAAAGTCTCCCCCAACCTGTCAGTGTAGTCATGTACAGCAATTACCAGTCTATGACCAATTACTGAAATAAAATGGCCTGTTTTGTATCTAGTTTTATTATGGTTCTTTTGGAATCTGAACTGCAAAATAAACTTAAGTTCACTTCTTAGCTGTGTTTTGACCCAGGAAGAATTACTCCGCTCCTCTAAAATCATAAATGAGTATTTATGTACAAATGTAAATATACACACAAACAAATTATGTCATCTTTGTGCATGCGTGCATTCACTTTCAGAGCGAAGAAATAATTTCAGATGCATACAATGCACTTGTCCATGATGGACAATACACACTACAAATAAACATCTCCTCCCATTTAATACCACTTACAGCCCTTGAAATAATTGTCTGTAGCTAAACACTCCTGGGTATTCCATCTGTTTGTTTATTTGTTTTAATGCAGCTGGGAGAAAAATTATGCAGCCCTTTCTGCTCTATCTTCCAACAGCACACACAGAAGACCTTCACTTAAAACAAAAAGTTTAATGTCTTATAGCAGACATATTGAGGCACTAAGAATCAGCCAATTATATAAACTGATTGTCAAACAACTGAGCTCAGGATTTTTTTCATTATATGGCAGTAACTAAAATACCACCACGTGCAAAGGGCTGCTTTCTTACCATAACACAAAACTATGGCAATTCTTAATGCTCACCTACTGCCCAGTATGCACATAGCACTGCAGTGGACTGAAAAAGTGAGGTAATGCCCCATATGCATTTGAGCTGCAGAGTTTTATTTTGTTTCAGCAGACAAACTTGGCTATTTCTAGTCTTGAAGAAACCTGCAAGCGTTATTTTCTCTGAAAATGTATCAGAAATTAATATTTGAGCACTTTTGTACAAGGTACCCAAGATTAATGACAAGCACAGCACAGTTACAGTGCCAGGTGTCGGCCGGGGGGAGCCGAGCACACACAATAGCACCAAAGACTCACATGGCCTCGCTGCCTCCCAGCTACTTCAGAAAGAAACAGCTCTGACTAAAAGTCACATTCTCATCCTCAAAGCAGAGGTAGAAAAGCATATATATGTGTGTACGTATGCATGCAGGCACATACGTACGTGTACACATAGATGTGTGTGATGAAACCTTAAGAAAGAAAAACAACGACAACAAACAAACAAACCAAACAACAGAAACCCACCCTCAAATTGTATGGAACTGCCCCCAGCTGCTCTGATATATAATACAGGGAGGGCGACTCACAAACCTTTGGAAACAAACAGTTCAAAACGTGCGCCTCAAAGACGCTTCCAAAATAGTTCCATGGTTAAAACAGTCACAGAAATCATTGGGGAAAATCAACAATATCTCGGGGTTTGCTTTTCCCCCCTTTTATTAAACTATCACCCACTGAATTTCTTATTATTCAGTGACAGAGTTCAGGGCGCAGCCACCTGATTACACAGCTTGTTAGAGTCTAATTTCCTAATGAAAATACAGAAATTTCCTAAAACTCAAGTGATGAAATGCAGGAATGGAAGGCCTGCTCCAATAATGGAATTTTCCTCTTCCACATACAAACCCAGCCCACCCCCACTCCCCCCACCCCCCATTTTTGGGAACAGGACAGTGGGCAGCAGAGAAGTTGAAGCCTTGGGACACAAAGAAGATTTCAGCTGCTGTGAGAAACAGGCCCCACAGCTCCTTCCCCAAAACCAAACAAAAGATGGCATCTGCAGGAAGAGAATGACAACCCCCGTACACACAGGTGGCCCATCCACACCCCACCCCCCTGCGGGTTCTGGGGGGTGCCAAAATACAGTACCTTTGCCTTTCACAGCAGCGCTGCTGCCAACTGAAGAGGATGCCTGGGAATCCTTCTTCAGCCTCTTGCTCTGAGGTCTGACACTGGACCTGAGAAAATGATGCTGGTCCTGGCTGTGGGAGGGCTGGAGGACAGCCGGGGCCTGGGCTAAGCTGGGGTTCGGCGGGGGGCTGCTGGTAGTGTTGCTGTTGATGATCTTCTCTTCTTTCTTTGTGCTGCTGCTGCCTGGAGCTGCCTCTCCTCCTCCTCCTGCCCCTTCTTCTTCCAGGGACTCCTCATCTCCTCCTGCTCTCTTGCCCAGCTTTTTCACCCCTTCCTCCCCGCCGCTCTCGCCCAGTTTCACTGTCATCCTGTTGGGGAGGAGAGAAAGAAAGGAGAGAGACATAAAGTCAGGCAGGGGAGCCCCCAAGAGAGGGGGAGAAACCCCTGGGCTGAGAGGGGAGAAGTTTAGCTGCAGAAATTCCTCTCAACATGGCCGCCGTTGTTTGTTACTAAATCCCCTTTCGTTTGCTGTCCCGACCCAACAACCTGTGCCGAGGGCGGGAGGGGAGAGCTCCGCGGGAACCCCCCCAAACCGGCCCAAAAGGCGGCGGGGCTCCCCCGGCGGTCCCCCCGGCACCCCCCGGAGGGCTCCGGGCCGCCTTCAGAGGAGAAATCGCCGAGGCGAACTCGGGCGCTGGAAGCGCTCGGCAGGCGGCGAGGGAGGCAGCGCCGGGCCCGGCGGAGCGGGGCAGAGCGGTCGGGCCGGCCCGGGGCTCGGTCCCATCCCACCCCTCCGACGGCTCCGGCAGCTCCGGGGGGGCTCCTCGCCCTCCTCACCGTGGGGCCGAGCCGGCCCGGCCCGCCGCGGGGGGGGGCTCCATGCTCCTCGATGCGGCGGCGGCGGCTTCTCCTCCTCCCTGTGTGTGTGTGCGGCTGGGGCTGGGACTGGCCGCGGCGACCAAGATTTCCAGCTCCCCTCCGCCCCCACCCCGCACCTCCCCGGGGCCGCGCTCCACCCGGGGGGCTCCGGGCACGGCCGGTCCCACCGCCTCTGCGGGGAGCATCGCCCGGCCGCGGCTCTCCTGACAGCGACGGCCGGGCCGGGCCCGGGGCCGCCTCGTCAGCGTCTGCCCGCGATGCCCGGCGGCGGCGGAGGGACCCCCGCACCAACGCGCCCCGGGGCTGACACCGCCACGGAGCCCCGCCGCCTCCACGCCGCGCTCGGGTACCGCGGCTCGGGGAGCTGCGCGGGGTTACGTGCCCGGGGATGGGGCTTCGAGGGGCACCCGGTGAGCCTTCACCTCAAAACGTGCCCACTGCACTGCGGGCTGTACCTGGAGCACAGCACCCGCCGTGGGCGCCCAAAGGCGCTCAGACCCGCTGCCTACTGAAACCCAGTGGTTGCTTTGGTGAGAGCACGGAGCACGGCGGGCACCTCCTGAAGTCCACCTGGAAGGAAGGCCGTCCAGCCGCAGCGGGAGAACAACGCCCGCATTGCGGCTCCCCACAGCAGCAGCAGCAGCAATCAACTTCAGCCATGGGCAAAGAGATGCTCACGAGAGAAGGAAACTCAAAACGTCACCCACGGAGCAGTGGGATTACTGCGCGTTGGGCCGATAGCGGAAGAAAGCGCTTTAAAGTGCACCAGGTGCATCACCTGCCTGTGACATGGGAGCTGTGTGCCTGCAGGTCACGGCACGTGCTCCTGTGACTGAAGTGATGCTTTTCTCTCTAACAGCTCCCAGTCGAAGCACTGCGCCCAGCAGCCCAGAAGGTTGCAGGGCGATGTTCCGTTCTTCGCAGCAGGCACCACACGCTGGCGTGAACCACAAATCTAAACCCACGTTAAAACTTCCATACTGAAATTTCACATCAAACCCTGACGGAGCCCCGATTACCCACACAAAGACTTCTCCAAACAACCAGACCACGATGTTTTCAGTTGATAACAGACATCTTACAACTCTGACAGCCCGCGCTTAAAGACATCCTCTTCAGCAGGGCTGGATCCGACCCCACCCTCAGCTCCACGGTCACAGACCGGGCCCTGCACCCCAGCACCAGGACAGGACGGCTCCCCCCTTTAGCGTGTCCTCGGGGCAACGCAGCCACTCCCGGCCCCCTCCCCGCTCCCGCCAGCCCTCCGGCCGGACTCACCCCGCTGCATACCCTCCCTTCTCGCCCAACACCACTTTCCCTTTCTCTCTCCACCCGGAACACTCCCGGCCCGCCATCACGGGCCCCGCACCGCCCCGCAGCCCGGCCGCTCGCTCTCCCCGCACGGTCGCCGGTGCTCGGGCATTCGGCCCCAGGGACACGCGAGACCCGGGGTCCCCGCCCGCCCGGCGCGCAGCGTTACCTGCCGCATCAACGCCGCCGCGCAGCCTCCGCGCTCCGGCTCTCCCTGCGGCGGCCGCTCCGGCTCCCCCGGCCCCAGGCACCCCCAGGCTGCGCCTCGCAGCCGCCAGCTCGGGGGGAGGCCGGCGCGCCCCGCGACCCCCGCGGCCTCCAGCGGCCCTCCCGACGCTGCCGGCGGGAGCGGCAGCGCTTCCCGACCGGAGAGGCGACCTCTCGTCCCCGGCTCCCCCGCAACCGCGGCGCCGCCGGCCGGAGCCGCGGCTCCCTGGCGCCCAGGCTCGGCCCTTACGCGGGCCGCGATGGGTCCGGGCCGCCGCGGCTCCGCTTCCTCGTCAGCCTGCGCCGGGCCGAGGGGGCGGGGCGCGGCGCGCGGGCCCCGCTAGGCGCGCCGCGGCACGCCCCTCCCGCGACCCCAAACAAACCGTCCCATTGGCTGACGGCACGCGGGAGCGAGGCGGGGGGCGGGGACTCAGCCTGGACGCCGACCAATGAAAGCGCGGCGCGGGGCGGGTGACGACAACTTTACGCACAGGAAGAGGTGGCAGCCGGTGTCCGAATGGGGGCGGGACGATTCCCAAGATCTGGCTGTCGATTGGCTGAAAAGTAACCAATTGAGAGCTCTATCGTTGGAGCCCTTGGGCATGCTCTCGAATATCATTGGCCGGCGAGATGTTGCTTTGCGTGCGGCGTTGCATTCATTGCCCGCCGGAAAAAGAACAGCGTTTGTAGCCGGAGCGAGGGCGGAGGGAGGGGGAGGGTTGTGATGTGTTGGCGAGGCGCTGGTTGGTGCACTCTTCCTAGCAATTAACAGCTTTAATTAGCTAATTCTTTTTCCTTAGCGTTGAAAATGAAGTGCATAAACTGACAGATGTGGAATCTTTAGGAAAAGTTCCTAAAGTACTTTCAGGGCTTCCAGTCTAATTCATGCAAAGTTCTCACCGTCTCCAGAATGAAGGAAGCATTATTCAGTGATTTACAAAATTCAGTTTAATTTCATTTGCTATCTAATGTGTTGGTCTGCTTTCCAGTGACTGCAGTATATAAGTAGTGCCTTTTGTTAATGACTAGCTAAAACAATTTTCCAAGTCTTAGCACAAGTACCGTGCAATTTTTTCCCCCCAACAGCTGTTGGTAAATGATGCATGGAAAGGATAAAGGATACCCTCTTGGAAAAATTTCCTGTCTCATTGTAGGAAAAGCTGTCTTATTCCTGTTCATTCACGGAAAACTGTCACAAGTGGGTGATCGTCCCACTGCATTCAGCCCTGGGAGGCCGCAGTGCTGTGCTCAGCTCTGGGCTCCTCACTGCAAGACAAGACACGAGGCCCTGCAGCGTGTCCAGGAGGGGCATGGAGCTGTGAGGGGTCCGGAGCACAAGGCTGAGGAAATGGGATGGTTCAGTCTGGAGAAAAGGAGCTCAGGGGAAAACTTACTGCTCTCAATACCTCCCTGGAAGGAGGCTGTGGGGAGGCAGGGGTCGGCCTCTGCTCCCAGGTAATAGCGATAGGATGAGAGGTAATGGCTTGGAGTTGTGCCAGGGGAGGTTCAGGTTGGATATTAGGAAAAATTTCTTCTCAGCAAGAGAGGTGAGGTAATGGCACCGCCGCCCAGGTGGTGGTGTCACCGTCCCTGCAGGTGTGCAAGAGGTGTGGAGATGTGGCACTGAGGGATGTGGTCAGTGGGCGCAGTGCGATGGGCTGGTGGTTGGGCCTGGTGATCTTAGAGGTCTTTTCCAATTTTATTGATTCTATGATTCTGAGTTGTGCAGAAATCTGTGGTTTAACAATCTGACCTTAGAATGGCAGGTGAACTGCGGCAGTTCAGGCCCCCCTGGTGTTGCAAGTAACTGCCTTATAATGCTAAATTCAAGCATGCCTTCACCTTTGTCATCTTCTATAAATATGCTCTAAAGCACAGCTATGAGTAACAAGTTTGTTGTTAGAAATTTGTAAATGCAGAAGAGCCAGCTTTTGTCTCAGCTGCAGAGCTCTGTGTTTTAATCCACTCCTTAATTAGTTTGTAGAGAGTATTTTTTTTAGTCTTATTATAACGTAGCGTGAGATCATGTGGCTTATATCAAGTATTTTTGCCACTTGGTTTAACCACAAGCAAATTTAACCACGTTGTCAGGAAATGAGGCTTTCTGCATCTACAGTGCCATGTATTTAAATGATGCTTTGCAAAAACACACAAAGATTCGCTCAGTTCCCCAAAGGCTCGGAGCTGGAGATTCCCATGTATGTAAATAACTTTGTATGCAGCCCCATTGCCTCAAGGAGACTGTTAAGGTGTAAAATTGTCCACGTGCGTAAATGTCCATGAAAGAAAGACTGAATAAAAAGGCATTGGAAAGAGCTGAGAGGCAGGGTAGGTTGAGATGTTGAAAAGCACTTGAACTGTTCTTCTTTTTTTTTGATGGTAGAGAGGCCATGCTTGTGCAAACCTGAGCAGATACAAAATGCAAATAATCTTTCAGTGTTTGTTGCCATGGTTTTCTGGACTGGGCAAGAACATGAACGTGGATTTGTTACTCTCCCTGTGTATTTTGAAATGAATGTAGATTGCACGCGTTGCGTACTCGATGTTTTATTGTCTGTGGTGGTCTTCATTTTGTTTTATGTTGTGGTCTTAAGTTTGTGCTAATTACAGTGTGAAACCTGTTTCTCAGAGTTCTTAGGTGTGGAAGCCATCACCAAAGTGGGTGTCATCCCTTAGCTATTAATTTTAATAATGCATCCGTTCTTAAAAGACTCTTAAATGGAATAATCTGGCAAACGATGATGGATGATTTTGGTGTTTCTAAAGCAGTTCTTTCCCATTCAGGTAAGAGGATTTAAACCAAAGGTCAGACGTCTGTTGTTAATCCTTCATGTCTTACTAAACAGGAATTGCCTAATCACACAGCTTTATTTTCCTCAGCAGCTGAGGTCAAGCCCTTAGAGGAAGGGATGAAATGCACTGCATGTGACCGTGCTGCCGAGCTGCTTCTCTGCATGTCCTGGGACCTCAGAGCTGCTAATTGGGCATCTTTCATGAAGGCAGTGATCAAAGCACCCTAGGATGGTGCTCTGCTGATGTCTCTGATAGGATATGAGCACCTTCCAGCAGGGCTTCCCTGCTGAACGCTATTAGGAAACGCCAGTTTCCATCTAAATCGGCACAACCGGGGATATGTAATTTAGGTATTGGCCGGACTTGCATTTATAATGGCATCAGGTAAATGGGAAAGCTGTGAAATGATCACTCGAGCAAAGATGGCTCACGTTTTTTAGATAATTTCTTACTCCTGTTAAGGTGTGCAAGACGCTCACGCGCGTTCTCATGCAATGCTACCTCCCACCAGTGCTGCTTTCTAACAGCACTGACGTTTTTCTGTCCGAAATGTCCCGACGTACGCCTCGGCGAGAACGAGAGCTGCGAAGCTCTGCAAGGCGCTTCCAGCGGGGCCGAGCCGCCGCCGCTCTCGGCTCCTCTCGGCTTGGGCCGGCTTCTCTCGGCTCTTCTCGGCTCCTGCCGGATGCCCCGCGTCGGCCGCTTCCGTCGCTCTTCGGCTTCGCTTCGGGAGTTTCCGCTCAAGGCCCCGCCTCGTTGCCAGGGGTAACGCGGAGCATCGGAGCGAGCGCGGACTTCGGGCGGCGCGGCCGCTGCAGGCAGAGCGGGCTGCGGGTACGGCCTGCGCGGGACGGGGCGCCGGAACGCGGAGGGGCGGGGGGGGCGGCCTCAGCCGGGAGCCGGGGCTGCGGGCACAGCGGGGCCGAGCGGCGGTGGCCGGGCCTCGTCCCGACGGAACCGACCCCGGGCCGTGCAGCGCTGCCCGGGCTGCTCGCTCCGCGTTGCGGGGTGATGTGCCCCTTTCCATCCAGCCGTGCGCTGCAGTGAAATTGTACCTTGTTCGGGTTGGTGGTGCGGCCGGGCACAGCTCCTGACAGCTGCCGACCTGCTCCAGCCCGGGATCCGAATGGCTGCGTTAGGTTAGTAGCGCTGGGTGCGCTGTGAGCCCGCTGAGCTCCGCGAGGATTCCCCGAGGGCCGGACGGCCGAGCCGTGCCAGCGCTGGTGTCCGGAGTGGGGCCGCTCCTCTGGCCAGGTAGGAACGGGAGCAGAGATTGAGCTTCCATCTCCCTCTGCTTTCCTCTGTTACGTTTTCTATGCATTGCTTCAAAAGCGTCTGTGGTGTGTATCCTCTGTGATCCGTGTGAGGGAGGGGATTGTCCCCCTCTGCTCTGCCCTCGGAGCCCCCAGCTGCAGTGCTGCGTCCAGGCCTGGGGCCCAGCACGGGAAGGTGGGAGCTGCTGGAGGCAGGGGAGGCAGTGAAGATGCTCGGAGGTTGGAGCACCTCTGCTATGGGGAAAGGTTGAGGGAATTGGGCTTGTTTGACTTGGAGAAGAGAGACTTCATTGTGGACTTTCAGTGCTCAAAGGGAGCTTATAAACAGGAGGTCTTGAAGTCCTTTCCAACCTAAGCTGTTCTATGATTAAAAAGATCATATAGCTGGGCTTACCATCCATCACCTTCCATGCCTGAACTTTGTGAGAAATTCTTCTCTTTTTAACCTTGGAAAAAAATAGAACGTGCCATGCCAGGAGCCCTTATGGAACACAGTCCTCATTTTTCACTTTCTTCTTTGAATAGTTAAGATAGATAACGAATTTTTTAGATTATGGCAGACATAATGTCGGTTTGGCTCCTGTGTGTAGTTCACATTGCTGACAATGTCAGTGGTAAAGTACAGAACCGCCAGACTATTTAAAAACATTGCCTGCCTTTCTAACACATCTGATCAAAGGTGCTGAATCTGATTTTTCTATTTTGGGGGGGAGAAAGGCAACCCTCTCAAAGGAAAATGTTTATTTTAAGCAATGATGAAATATTTAAACTAAAGAGACTTTCTGTGTCTGATTGGTGACCTGGGCAGATCTTCTTACCTACATGTGCCTACAGGTCAACAACTCATGGCTGAGGTGTTCATAAGAGACCTTCATCCCCAAAGATGTCGAGGAACTGTTTAAACCTTTGATGGGTTATTTTAATTTCTTATTTCTCAGGTCTTGGCATTTTAGCTAATAACTGAGGTGTTTAAAAGGTGATTGTCTCTGGCTGTTTGTTTGTTTGTTCTAAACCAAGCCAATGAGATTGTACAACAAATCCCCAAACCAATTTCCATAAGTAAACTTTTGAAGACTGAGTTACCCACTCAATTTCTGAGAAGAGCACCATTTCAGGTTTATTTTCCTTGGAAATGGTTCACTTACTGAGGGCTTTCATTCAGATGTTAAGATAAGTTGCTTAAGTCTTTGGACTTAAACCTGTATGTCCGGTGATTTCAGCAGTGTAAGCTCCAAAATGGTGACAACTTATAAAGCTTACTTTGAAAGAAAGCTCAGATGTGAGACTTTACAGCCTGAGGTCACTCTACACGTCATTCTCTTCAGATATGAAGTGCTAGAAATACTCTTGAAATAACTCTGAGCTTACCAGAGTGCTCTCTGAAATAAGTCAGCATAAACCACTGGGAGACCAGGTGCTAGTCTGGGCTACAAGGCTCCATACTCCCCAGTACTCTTTAAAAATACCACTTTGATCTTTTTCATATTTGCTGCATTAAGATGGTGATGTGGTAGCTTTGTTTTTCTCCTCGTTTTTCTCATACTTCCCTGTTAAATACCTGTTTTCCTCATGCAAACTTGCAGTCAGTGACGGCTTCTGCCATGGCTGTGTATGTGGATCACCAAACGCAGGCTCCAGATTCAGTTGCCTCCCCTTCTCTTATAACATGGCACTCCGTCCATCCTCTCCTGGCAGTCGCTTCCATCAGCACAGCATCAGGAGGCTGTGTGGATATCTATCTGGAGCAGGTGAGTAAACAGCAGCTTTGCTGCTCTGAAACTTCACTTTTGCATTACATGTGCCTGCAATTCCAAGTTTTACTGGTGATGCTTACCAGTTTGCTCGTTAGGCTTAACAATAGAATGGCCACGTGCTTCTTTTTTCTCTTTTTAAACTTTAAGTGAATCAAGTGTACTCAGTAATGGGAATTAGAAAAAAGAACATTCTTCCCCTTGAGCCTGACTTGGTTTGCTAGACCCAGCTCACAGCATCTGAGAGGGCTGTAGGCAGGTATTTGCTGTGCTGCTCTCATAAGCTTTGCACAAGGGACTCGTGTAGCACTTCAGTTTGCACAATTTCCAGGGGAAAGTAAGAATCTGTGCTATTTAGGGAAATGGTGCAGCAGATGCACTGAAAACATTGACATTTGTTAATGTGAGAATTCTATAAAATGCATAATTTTCAGAGTGTGTTATGAAAAACTGTCATCCACATTTGACAAATAGGAAAATAAATATACGAGGTGTTAAACAATTTGCTTGAGATAATGCAGCTAACTATGCTCAGAGAAGAGCCTACCTTTTGGAGCTATTTAAGCACTGGTTTATTGTATTCTTGGTGAAGAGCTTTATTATTTTTCTTCTTTTTTTAAACTCAGATGGGGTGGGGGCCATCATATCGTTCTTACAGGAATCTCATGTTTAGTGAGTGCTCTTTGTGCACGCTGTGAGGGATGAATAGCCTTGCAAAGCAGAGGGAAGCTGTCACTTAACACCACTGTGTTTTCAGAAGCTATTTTCAAGTGGATGTACCACATATCACAGCACACCTATGCATGTGAAATAGCCAAGAATACGTGGTGTAGCCACTTCTTGTGTCTTACCAGAGGTTCTGATGCAAGTCAGTTCTTTCAGACAAGAAAATATCTTGTTGGCTGGGGAGTAAATCTGAAGGTTTAGCTGCGTTCTTGTGTTGATCCTGCCCTTTGTTTCTGTTTGCAGGGAGAACACGTGCCTGATGCACATGTCGAGAGAAGCTCTCAGGTCACATCGCTTTCCTGGCACCCTTCCAAGCTGATCCTGGCAGCTGGCTGGGAGACTGGAGAAGTTGTCATACTTAACAAACAAGACAAGGAGCTCCACACTGTGCCGCCAAATCATAACAGCAAAATTACCATCCTAAACTGGAGCAGCAATGGCTCCCGCCTCGTGTCTGGGGATAGGGTAAGCAGCTCAGGTGTCAAACCCTGGATCTGGAATACAGTGCATGCCTTGTGATGGAAAGGATCATGGAATGGATTGCAAAGGAAGGAAATAGTTGCAGGAGTAGGGGAGGGATACATTTCCACGCCTTAGGTACAAATTAAAATGGTTAGAGAGTGAAAACAAATGCAATTGTGTTAACTTTTCTACAGTTCTTTCAATTTGTCTTTAAATGAGCATCTCTAACCTCACTGAGGGTGGTGAGGCACTGGAACAGGTTGCCCAAGGGGGCTGTGGATGCCCCATCCCTGGAGGCATTCAAGGCCAGGCTGGATGTGGCTCTGGGCAGCCTGGTCTGCTGGTTGGCAACCCTGCACGTAGCAGGGGTTGGAACTGGACTGTGGTCCTTTGCAACCCAGGCCATTCTATGATTAGAACAGTAGGTCAGGTTTTCAGGCTGTTTAATGCACAGAATGTTTGAGGTGTGGGTGATTTCAGTTGTTTGTTGCTGTGTATGCAGGAAGTTTGCATTTTAACAGTACACTAATATGAATTGTACTTACTATATGGAAAACATTTTGAAAATGGTTGGAAATATCAGTCTATTGATAAGCTTATTACCCTTTATGAAGTGAAACGAGATGCTAATAATAAAATATCTAGTATTCAGGACTAAGCATTCATAGAAGATTCCGATTTGTCAGTTCTTGAATGAGCAAATGGTGACAGCGTGCTTTTTTACATTCTTCCTGATAAACCTGAGCATGCCCAAGAATTTTGGTTCGGTTCTCAGATTTTTACCTATGATTTGGAGAGAAATGTAATTTTACATCGTTCTTGGTAAAGTTCTTTTGCACTTTCTGCATTTGACAGAAATGCAGAAAATAAACATTGAGAGCCGTGATTGCATTTATCCTCTTAATTAGAAAAGTTGTTGCCTGAAGAAAGGATGATAAACAGTAACTGAGAGTTTATGTGGAAAATATGTTAATGTAACTGCTGTTTACATTCATGTTGCACTTGGGAACAGACTTTTTCAAATTGGTTTTTGGTGTTGGATCACAATAAATTTCCTTAAAACAGGTGTAGCCATTCTTAAAGTCAGTAATACCACTCCTTTTGTTGTCTGCATTAACGAAGCAAAATGAGGTTGAATTTTGCATTGCAAGTTGTTGTTTTGTTCATGCAGTGCTTATACAGAGGACATCCAAATGCCATTTGTTTCTCTAAGCATGAACATAATAACAAAAATAAAGTTCCAGCTGTGAAGTTGCAGCGTAGGTCAGCTTGTTGGGACTGGAAAGGCATATGACATGCTGAAGGCTTTTTGCATCTCTGCCTTCTTCATCCATAGTTTCTAGTCATTGGGGGTTTATGCATTCTGAGCTGGCACTGCCAAATGCTTGTTACCTCCAAAACCTGTGCCAGGCTCTAAGATTTGCACAGTGGTTGCAGTTTGGTGTGTTCCTCCTTGCAGCAAAAGGCACAAACTGAGATTGTTTCTGTGATAGCTGAACCAACCTCATCTGTGCTGCAAATACACGTGTTACAGAAAGTACATGTGTTTGAACAGAAAAAAGACAGTGAGTATGTATTCCTAGTTTTTATATTCAGTTGATAGCCAGATTAAATCTTAAGAGTGCAATCTGCCGTGATGAAATTCAGGAACAATTTTGAGATCTGTTTGTAAGATTGAAGCTCTGTTTGGAATGAAGTAAGCAGGTAAAAGTTAGACAAATGTAGTTAAGGAAAGGGGCAGACAGCAAGACTATGAAATTCTTTCATTGAGAAATGGTAGAAATTTTGTTACTCAAAATTCTTTTAAAATCAGACTGAAAGAAATGGGGCACAATTATTTTCCAGCATCAACTTCCATTGACTACTGTTGCATTAATTAGCTAACTAGCCTTGCTTTCTTTAACTTGTCATTCTTTTAGAGTCTGGATTCTCACATATGTGCAATGTGTGATGAATTAACCGCGGTCTTTTTTTTTTTTTTTAGCACGGCATCTTGTTTCTATGGAGAATGGACCAGCGAGGTCGAGTGCAAGGTCCTCCCATGCTAAAACACGAGTATGGAAAATGTCTGTCACACTGCATCTTCCGACCGCCCCCTCCTGGCGAGTAAGTGGTGTGTCCTGCCAGAGCGCAGGTGGACCAGCTCTCCCTCTTGTGCCCCAGAAAGAAAAGCCTATTCACTGACCATTTCTATTTAACATCCTTATTAACGATCTTGACGAGGACATTCTGGCTTGGATCAGGAACGGAGTGATGAGCAGGACTAGGAAAGTCATCCTGCTCCTGCACTCAGCACTGGTGAGGCCTCAATTTGAGTACTGTGTTCAGTTTTAGGCACCTCGGTACAGAAAGGACACAGAGGTGCTGAAGCAGTCCAAAAAAGGACAACAAGGCTTGTGAAGAGAATATGTTGGAGAATATGCCCTATGAGGAGAGACTGAAGGACTGTAGCTGTTTAGTTTGGGGAAAAGGAAGCTGAGGGGAGACCTTATTGCTCTCTTCCAATACCTGAAAAATGATAACAGAGAGAGTGGGGTTGGTCACTTCTCACTGGCGACAGGACAACGGGAAATGGCCTTAAGTTTCACCAGAGGAGGTTTAGGTTGCATATCAGGAAACACTTATTTACAGTAACAGTTGTTAAACACTGGAGTGGACTTTCCAGGGAAGTGGTCGAGTCACCATCCTTGGATGTGTTTAAAAACCGTTTGGATGTGGTGCTCAGGGATGTGATTTAGGTGCAGCCTAACTCTAGTTAGAGCTAGGGTAGTGTGGTTGGGTTGTGGTTGGACATGATGATCTTTTCCAACCTGAGCAATTCTATGATTCTATGATTTAAAAAATAATAATAATACAAAACTGTCTTTGTAATTGTCCTCTGGTTCCAAGCTTTCCTTCCTCTCTATTTGCAGCAGAGGCTATTTGTGTTCTGCATGTAGCAACAAATCTTTTGTTTTGTCAACATCCCTCTCACTGTTGCTGTTCATTCTTCTTTCTTTAGTTCTTCATAATCAGTGACATTTGCCAATTAGAAGAACACAAAGCACACTGGAAACAGTTATTCATGAAATTATTGGCAAGAATAACTGAACTCTTAAATCTGTCTTTTCTCTTCAAGAAAGTAGTAGTAAGCTATAGTATTAAGGAAAAAAAAAAAAAGAAAAATAGATTTTTCTTTGTCCGGGACATTGTTTCACATCTCTCTAAAAATAATAATGCTTACAGGGGGGAAAAAAGGGTGAAGCAAAACAAGTGAAAGCTGGTACCGAATGAGCTTTATATGTTTTGGGGGTTAGTTGATTTCCAGCCAGTGCATGAAACATTTCTTCTCTCTTTACAATATTATGAAATATTCCTTTCTTTAGGATGGAATACTCTGTTATGTAGGGAATTGGAAATGAAGTATCTTTTGTTTGCAGAGACTTCCTACAGCTGGCAAAAGCTGCTGTGAGTGGTGATGAGAAAGCCTTGGATATGTTTAACTGGAGAAAAGCTGGAACAGAAGCACCTCTGAAAATAGGGCTCCAGGAAGGACTGTCCTTCTTTGTCACCTTGACTGATGGTAAGAACAAGAACACTTTTTTCAGCTGCTGTGAACTTGCCTATTAGTGGTTCAAAACAGTTCAATGACTTAGATTTCTGCTACATTCCATCCCTTCATGGCTTGAACCAACGACTGAGCAGGTTGAAGGTAAGCCCTTTCCCATTACAGTGATCCAGTACATCATGATGATTCGTACAATTTGCCTGTCATGGTGTAGGTTGACAAAATGAGATGACTGATGATTGGTTCATGGTTGAAATTCACGTTCCTTTGTGGGCCTGTACTCCATGGTTTCCTGGAGGCACATAGCTGCTTGGACCAGGGAGGGTTTGGCTTGCATTTCATCAGTTCCATATAGTCCACCACCAGGTGTCATGCTGATCTTTCAGTGACATTGGATGTCATGTTGCTGCTCCTGGTGATCAAAAGAGACTCAGGGGATAACACGGATGTTTCAGAAGTACCAGAAGGTATAGGTCCGCCCTCCACAGCAAGATACATGCCATGTTCCTGTCCTGGGTCAATACTTCAGCTTGCACTGGGGCATGTCCTGGCCATATGTACCATACCCTTTGGCCCAATATCAAGGCTCTATAACTATATGGGGTACCAAAGGGGGAGCCTAGATTTGCCACAGGGCCATGATTTAGGTCCCCTTAGCAATGAAAACCAGAGCATTGACCATGATGCCTGCAGGCCATGTGCCTATTACTGGGGGGACTACAGATCCCCCAACCTCCAATAATCTTCCCCAAGGTGCAAGGAGGCCACACAACTTTGGTCTAATTTGCAACTTCTAAGGCCATTCTTTTTCATGGGTACAGGATTCTAGGTTTTCAGGGGCAGCGAGCAGATTATTGTCATTGCAATTTGGGGTCTTACCCAACTATCTGTGCCTGCAGTTTGGATCCTAAGTGGGGAGGCCCATGTTGTCTATAGCATCTTTAGGGCACTGGGTCTGCTGTCTCTAGGCCTTTTGTTCAGGTCCCATAGGGTTTCATAGAGTCTCTTTGTCCACCCCAGCAGGGATCGAGAGTCTACCCATTGGATTATATGGCAGGTGGAATTGCCATTCTGTTGTTTTCTTCTGCCCAACATTGTACCACCAGTAAAATGAGTTCCTCCGTCACCCTCGATGACTTGAGGTATCCTGTAGGCAGCCATCAGTTTGGTGAGCACTCTGATGGTATATGCTTGGTTCACTGTTGGCAGTGTATAGGCCTGCATTAGCCCACTTGCTGTGTTGATTCAGGTTAGGGCATATCTTGCCCCCTCAGACCGAGGAAGGGGCCCAATGTAGTCGACCTGCTATTGCTGGAGAGGACTCTTTCCCCTTGCAAGATGGGCTGATGTTTTGGGCAACAGTCTTTGTCTCATACTGGAGCAAGCATCGCAGTCTCAGAATGCCTTGGCGTTGTCAGATAGCTGTATGGGCAGCCCCCATGCTTTAGCAGCTGCCCACATTGTCTTTTGTCCTGCATGCTGCAGCTTCTGGTGTAACTAACAGGTGATGTTCTCAGATGGTGAATCCTCAATCCATCGAACTTGGGCCATCGTGTTGGCTTCACCATTTCCTGGTGACTGTAAAGGTTGGTGGCCAGAAACGTGGTAGACATGTACAGTCCTGTGTCTAACCACATTCCATATGTCCAACCACAAATCTCTGCCCCAGATTGGTTGGGTGTGGGTAGTCCATTCCTGGATGGCCCACTGTGCAATCCAAAGGGTGAGCCCACAGTACACAGCCCACCTGTCTGTGCAAATATTCAGTATATCATCACTGGGTCCCTTGGTTATAACCATCCACACAGCTCACAGTTCTGCCCATTGGCTACTGTGACCACCTCCCTTTTCAAACCAGATTATTTCAGTGGAGGGATGGTATGCCACTGCTCTCCACTTGCTCGGGTTACCCTTGCTGGACCTGTCTGTACACCAGGCATCTTCAGGAATGGGGTATTTCCCTTCTTCAATGGGACTCTTCTGTGGTGGAGAGATCATTGTGGTGATGAAGCAGACTACTCCTGTGCCCGAGATAGGCAACCCATCGTGCCACTGTCTGTGCTTGGGCCACTCCTGTCTTAGGAAGGTGGGTCAGATCTTTCACCCTGAATTGGCAAGCTGGTCTTAACTATGACTTCAGTTGTTTGGGTTACTGGCTCTATTGCCTGCAATATGGAATAGGCAGCCAATAACTGTTTTTTGGTCATGCTGTACCTCACTTCTGCTCCATGCCAAACCTGAGACCAGAACCCAACTGGAGTTCTAAGAGAATTTTGGAACTGCCATAGGCCCCAGCCAAACCCATCCTGAGTTCCATGGACATCTAGTTTGGCTGTAAGGGTAGGACTGAATATACACCAGCCTGTTCTGACAACAGGTTGGTGAATGCATGTACGTTTGTGGCAGGCCCTGAAAGGTCTGCTGCCTGCCTCCCCATGTAAATGCAAACTGACCTTGGGATTCTTCATGGATGGGAATACTGAAGAATGCATTTGCCAAGTCTAGGACACAATGGTAGGTTTTTACGTCCCTAGACCTTCCCTGTGTCCATCAGGGAGGCAATATTGGGTACAGCTGCATGAACAAGAAGAGTGACCTTATTTAATTCTCTGTAACCCACTGTCATTCTCCATGTGCTGCCTGACTTCCCTACTGGCCACTTGGGGAATAATATGGGCTCTGTGCAGGTCTTACGATCACAGTGTTTTCTAGTTCCTGCACCATTCTAGAGATTTCCTCTTGTCCCTCCAGGAGTCTATACTGTTTAGTATTAGTAATCGGGCACGTATTTGGCAAATGAATAGGCTCATCTTTTGCATGGCCTCTTAATATCACCTGCACCACCCGGATACCAATACATCTCTTTCTCAGCCTGAACAGTCATCTGGAGAGTCAGACCCCATGGTATGTCTGTGCCCAGTATGTACTCTGGGACTGGGGCAGTAGACACCTTATTATACTCCCAGGGTGGGAGACACCCAGCCCCCAACTTCAACTATGTCTGGGTTACAGGGATGGTCTTTTCCCTAGACCTACCAATCACCACCTTATCTCCATGGAATTTGGTTGGATCACCGTAAATAACTGACGTTTCTGCATCCGTGTCAACCAGTGCCATAACTCACTGTTATCAAAAAAATCATTAATTCAACATAGGGTCTCTGGTCCCATCTGGGAGCCCTAAGTGCAGGGGGGCTGGCATCCTGTATCATGCAAGTCACTGAGTAATTGCCAATTCTTTTTCTTCAGGTGGCTCAGGCAGAGTGGCCTGGGTCACTTGAGGAAGCCTTTTCCTTTTATTGGGAACTAGGAAATCTTCCAGGTTCCATGTTCTTGTTGGTATTTTTTCAGAAATTCTCACCCCAGGTTTTTTGGGTGATTTTGAAATTTTTGATTGTCCTCTAACTATCTCCATAGCTGGAGGAGGACATGATAGAGCTCGTGATCAATTTTAGCAAACTGAATCCCAGCCCGGATCAAGTCATCATCTGCTTTCGGGATACTCATACAGGTCCCTGCTGAGGGAGTGGGTTACCTGGTTTTAGTTGCATAGTGGACCTTGGCCCCTTCTAATGTTTGGATATTTTGCTTCTTCTGAAAGCACTCTGTCTCCCCTAGATCAGCCAGAAATTGGATGGCTTGTTGGATGATGGCCTCTGAGGCCACTAAAGGGTTCAGAATGGACATCAGTGTGCCATACTGGTGGGGAGGGGCTTGTTGTAGTATGAGGTCCCTCATCCCTGCTGAGAATTTAATCAGGTTAGGACTTTCGAATGTGTTATCATGAATGACCTTTCATCCCTAGTTCTCTCATATAATTTTGGAGTTCTTCCACTGAGGTCCATAAACCAGCATTTCTCAGTACATCACTTTTGTTTGGCCACATAATTCTACATGCTGCCATTATCCACTGGATTAAGGAATAGTTTTCTTCATGATGTATTCCTGTTGCATACAGCCTCTGTCTGAGAGCCGGATGTGTGGTAATAGATGCAAGTTTGGAAATCTCAGTCCCATTAATTACCACACTTTTAGCCCCCATATCTCATGATCTCAAAAGCCAAGCTGGGATGCTTTCTTGGGGTCTTTGCTTAAATTGTTGCAACAAGTCCCTAAGTTCAGCAGCTGCACATGGGCACGGTGTTACTTGTAGTGTGGTGTGGGCAGGGGCTACTCTCCAGGTGCCAACCCTGCTGGTCTGTCCTGGAGTTTCTTTGTCTTTTGAGTTATTACTGGTCTTATTTCTAGAGGATCTGAGGTTCCCGGATCTTCTAGTTGGATTTTAGTCTGCTTGGCTTGCTTTTTGTTCTTGGATTCAACAGGGATCCAAGGATCCAAGTCTTTTTCTCCTTCTAATGACATAGGTCTTAATTTCAAAGAGGAAATTCTATTTAAAGTTGGGGCAGTTTGCCCTGTCAAAGATGTAATTTTCTTTTCCAGTTGTCTAATATGGGCTTTAAAAAGCTTTTTTTCCCCATCTTCTAATTCCTCCTCCAAGGAATGATACGCGTTAATAGTGAGAAGCAGTGGCCATGCCACAGCAGATGCTGCTACTGCTCTTTCCTCAGTTATCAAAAGATTTTGTTCTAATTCTTTCAGGAAGTCAGCCATTTTTGAAGGGGATTTAATAATGGGAACATTGGCCCTTATAGGTCCCCATTGTTCAATAATTTGTGCAGAAATTAGCCATGGGGAACCCAGGAATCTCAGAGTTTTCCCTAGGAGATCCTTTTTTGGTGTACTAGTGGTCCCAGTGACTATCCAATGCAAAATGTTTTTTTAGATAATCCATCCTAAATAAGTATCTGGCTCACCAAATGTAATGCTGTAATGTGATGGAAAGTACAGCAATAATAAGGAGTGGCACAATCCTAGGCTACAGCAAATGAGAACAAGCCCAAATGCAGCAGCTGCGGACACAGAAACAAAGGGAGAAAAACTGCTAACCTTTGTAAGGCCTCTGGTAAGCAGGGATCTCCAATGAGATATCTTTGTCTCTGCTGCCAACCCTCAAATGAGGGCTGGGAAGGGATGGATTGTGGCTTCACCCCTTCTGGTCACTCAAATGTATTGCATGCACCTGACTCCCCTGGGTTGGCTCTGCCTTCCCACCAGGCACTGAATCACCGGTTCAGGTGTGTCTTAGCATTTCTGCTACAATTACCAACTAGCTTTTTTCCATCCTAGTGATGCCTTTTGTCTCCTGCTTACCTGTTATCTCTTGGATCTAGAACTAGAGTGTGAGGCAACCATTGTAATGAATACATAATCCTTTCCATTCCAGTGCTGACTACTTCAGAAACTATTGAAGTTAGCTGGCTCTACAGCTCAATTACAGCATGATTCAGTGTTTGCATTCATTGTGGTAGTGGAATTAGACCCCATAATTAACACCAGCACGGCTAACTTACTTACAGTTGCTTCATTGTCTAGAGGTATGTTTACCTTGCACAGCAGCAGCTCTGCCTTAATTGCATTTGTGAGGTGTTAGCTACTTTACTAAATATGAACCGTTCAAATTTAAAAGGGTTGCAGGGCACCTTTTTTTTTTTTTAATGCAAACGTGGAAGATGAAAATCTCTGGCTGTGTGCCTGTTAGGAGCTGCTTTAAAAATGAGCATCTGTTGGTACACATCCCCATCTAGAGACAGACTCGGAGTCCTGCAAGAGAGTGTACTCTAATTCTCTTTGTTTCTTGGGCCTCCTGCTAAACTTTAATTTACTACCATATGGCACTGGTGGTTTCTTTTCTGAGCTTTCTCATTGCAGAGGTTGATGCAGTTTGGACTCGGTTCTTATTTTAGATGGTGGGCTGTCAGAATGAGTGAACATTTTCATAGCGTTTAAATGTGAACTACAGTTGTGATTTTTCATCACGAACTTATTCTAATAAAAACAAATTAAATTATTGCTTTAAAATTTTTAATGCTTTAAACATTGTTAATGCAATTGTAAAAGATCTCAGAATAGACTTGACTAAAGCCAGGAGAGCAGCATCATTTAAAGCTAAACTGGAACGAACAGTGGAGCTCCTCAAAAGATGGTAAACATCTGTTTTAAGTATGAGCTTAGATCTATTGCTGCACTCAAAATGCTGTTAAAAAAAATAATTCAGACAATACGTGACACAAGATACTGATCTAAAGAAAGGATGCCTGATTGCTAGCAGTTTTAAAAGGTTGCATTGTAATCCTCTCACGACCACAAAAAATCTTCAGTGCAAAGCATTTGAGATGACTGGCACAGGTATTGGGACATAACATGGACACTGTAAGGCATCCTGATCTTTCTGCTGGTGGACTTTTATTTGTAGCTGCAGGGATCTGTTCCCTTGTCTTGCAAATGTGGTGTGAACAATGCTGTTTGTGAACTACTTCCAGATTCTGTAGGTGACAGACTATTACAAAGAATGACTGCAATAAACCTTTCTCTGTGTGATAAGAAGTACTGCGTTGGAGAACTGTTTTAACAAGAAAACTTCAGTGTTTATTGCAGGTAGAAAATTTAGCAGTATGATCACAGGTGAGACAGGAGTTTGGAACTTTTTTTTACCCTACCTAGTATTTATTTTGTGGAACTCGTGTAGAAAAACTGCTCACAGTGTGTGCTGGGATGTTTTTGAACAACGAGGAATTCCATATGCTCAGGCTTCTGTAATCTAAACTTTGCTGTACATGTATTAATTCTTAGGTTCTTTCACAAAGTATGACTACTGAAGATTTTAGAAGCCATCATTTGGCCTTTGCATACCTGTACACATATGCAGAAAGTGTTTTTTTAATTGAACAATATTTGTGATGCCACTTAAAGGTTTGCTTCTGGATTTTCTAGATGAGCAAGAATGAATAATTTTGGTTTATTGCTACAGTCAGCTCTTGTAATTGTCCGCATCCAGAGACAAACTGTGAGACAACAGTTGTGGTTGTTTTTCTTCTAGCACTCGAGAACTATTTTATTGAAGTAACAAGGAGCAAATTCAATTTTTATGGCTACAAGAGTTGTTAACCAAGAGCTGTGTAACTTGTTTATGTGTACTACAGGTTGTGTGCACTACACAAATGAGAAAGGAAAGACAAGCCACATATTGTCAGCTGACAACCTTGTACAGAAGCTTCTGTTCATGGAGAAAAAAGATGCTTTAGTTGTTATAACAGAGAACCTGCTGTTGTCCTTGCATACAATTACTCTCGAGGGAGATGCCAAGGAGCTCATGAAGGTGAGAGTCAGACAACAAAGTAGAGTTGCAATATTTAATCTCCTCTTAGGATTTTTTTAATTATTGTTTCCTTCACTCAGAAATGAATCAGCTTTTCTTCTCTGTTAGTATCTTGGAGACCAAATATACGTGCATTTAAAGGTAAAATAGAAGTGTGCTACTGAAATTGGAAAGATGGTTTTCGTCCTGCTCTTGTGTTTTGTCTTAGTTTCTTTCATTGTGATCCTATGTTAGTTTTTTTTTTACTCCTTAATTTGTCTTACTGAATTAAAAGGTGATACTCTTAAAATCTATATGTAATTTTGGTGCAATCAAATGTTTGTTAAAACATTTCATGGAGAAATAGTTACAGGTTATATTTCCTCATCTTCATCACCATCAGTTGCTCAGTTGCCTATTTCAGATTAGCAGGAGCAGTACCCTCCTTGTTGTGATGCTCTTTTTCTGTAAATCTGAAAGATGGCTTTGTTCTCACTTTGTGATAGTGTCCTCTGCAGCAGCAGAAGTCCCAGAAGACTTTAAACAGAAACTCCCAAGTCACAGAAGTACTTTTGTGTCACTACACTGCTATCTGTGTAGGACTGAAAACCAAACTGACCTCTTCCAGTAGGTACAGCCATCTTGACCCAACGTGCAGATAAAATGCTGTACTGTTGGGGCACACTGCTTCGAGGGTGAGGAAGGGCCTTCGTATTTTTTTTTCTGATTTTCTTCATCTAAGATCAGAAAAGAGTGGGCACTTCTATGTCACGGGAGTGCCAGCTTTTTATTAATTGGTGGATGCCCCATCCCTGCAGGCATTCAAGGCCAGGCTGGATGTGGCTCTGGGCAGCCTGGTCTGCTGGTTGGTGACCCTGCACATAGCAGGGGGTTGAAGCTAGATGATCATTATGGTCCTTTTCAACCATTCTATGATTCTGTGATTTTGCAGTTAACACAATACTTACCAAATCCCAAGAGATCCAATACAGGAAGAAGCACTGTTCCTTACCTACTTGCCTGACTGCAAAACTTTTTTTTGTGAATTTATACATCTGATACTTGATAAGTTTAATGGTGGTCATTCCTTTGTCTCTATGAATTATCACACAGGTCAGGGTTTACATTTGAACTCTGAGCTCATACTGGACAATTCAGATGCTTAGACATTCAGCGTGTTGATTCTACCTTCTGCCATTTCCTGTATTCACTTTTGTTAACAGGTGAAGTTGAGTGGGAAAACTGGTAATTCTGCAGACATCATTTTAATAGACCATAGCCTTATTGCTACAGCAATGGGTGAGACAGTACTCAGGTAAGAATCCTGTTTTTAAGCTGTTCTTGCTGCACGTAAGAAATCTGATCTAGCAATTTCTAGTCTCTTGAGTTTTTTGGGTTTTTGTTTTTTTTTTTCTCTTTATTGGCATGAAAAAGCAACTTTGCTGTTCTTTCCATCTTTACTGTCCGATTCTTATGATAATTATAGCAATAACAACAGGCAAAAGTGCTTGTTTCTCAGGACTTCTCTTTTACTGCAATGTAACACAAGTATTATAGTGATTTCTTTCCGTAATTCATTAAACAATATGTTACTTTGCCATGTTGCTATCTTGTAATGTTATGTAGTTTTAAAGTATTTCTTCTTGAGTCTTTTTAAAGTACTACTTTTTTTTTTTTCCTTCTACCTTTACTATGACTTACTGTACTTATTTCCTCTGAATCTGAGGGGTGAGGAGAGGAAGAAGAGAATTCCATTAACATCTGTGGTTCACTTGTTTGAGTCTCTGCCTGCTGCTGCCAGGGAAAATCTGTTAATGTTGTGACAATGTGATAAAGATCAAGTATTGAGCAAGAAGAAATTTGACAATGTTTGGTTCTTGAGAATATATCAGCAGTCTGAAGGGCTACTGTTTGAGATAGAGAATACTGGAGCCACAAATGAGGGGGGAGAATCCTGCAGCTATGCCTCAATTTTTTTGTTTTTCTTAAAACTGTGTTTGCTTCTGACTCCTTTCACAAAATATCCTGCGTACTGAAAAGTCACAGGAAAACGGAGGAGATTAAGAAGTTCTCATTTCAGAAGCAGCTGCTGGCAATTTCACTTTAAAAAATAAGTATCTGTGTGTTATTGCTGACAGGGTTGTAAGGTGCTGGAACAGGCTGCCCAAAGAGGTTGTGGATGCCCCATCCCTGAAGGTGCTCTAGACCTGTCTGGATGGGGCCTTGGGCAGCCTGACCTACTGGTTGGCCAACTCTGGCTGTGTCAGGAGGGTTGGAACGAGATCACCTTTGAAATCTCTTCCAATCTAGTTCTATGATTAAGGAAATAGCAGATTAGTGCCATGTACAAGTCCTCTTGACAGTTTAGCAAGACAGCTGGAAGGAGAAGCATTGTTAACTCTTGTTTTGTGCACCTTTAGGTTCTGGGATTTGGACCGAGGTGAGAACTATGTGCTCTCCCCAGATGTGCAATTTGGCTTTGAGGCTGGGGAGTGTATGAACTGTGTTTCTTACTGCAGTGCTAAAGGTGAGGAATAATAGGGCAGCTGTGATCTCTGATTCCAAACCCTTTTCAAATTGTCAGCCTTCAGTACTCTGTAGTCATTTTAGTAGATTCTTGTTACAGGGCATTTCAGTAGTAGCATATCTTGTAGAATTGGTTTGGTATATCTTAGGAGTGCCCTCCCAAAGGGGCTGTGAGATCATTCAGCACTTTTTCTCCCATTGTGAAGTTGTCTCTGAGCACAATGGCTGGATTCCCTTTGAGGCTGAACCAGTGAATGTGTTCCTGGAGCACACCTGGCGTGTTCCAATGTGCTATGGACACTCAACAAGCCTACGTGAGAACTTAATGCAAAGCAGAACTTAACAAATGCATAGTGTGAATGTTGGGTCCTTACAATGGGTTTCTCTACAGAGTCATTCCTATCTGTTGCCTTGTTTGCTAATGTAGGCATAGATTGGGCCTACCAGAGTGGTTTTAATGACGACTTGTCTATCTGTACTACAAAAATAGTTATTTAATAGTAAATGGTTAAAATGAAATCATTGTCTGATGTATTTAAAAGATAACTTCATCTGGTAGCTTGGAAAACAGCCATTGATTCTCAAAAAGAACTTTTTCCATTTTTTTTCCTGAAAGGTTCTCCAGTACAGGGCTATAATGCTGATTTGCAGGGGGGCAAAGAAACAAACTATGCTAGAATAAGGCTTCCCAGTGCCTCAGAAGCAGAGCCAGGCTGCCTACTACTTTGTGTTCTGTTTGTTTTTCTGAAGCGTGATAAGATAAGAATAAGATAAGATGTGTCTGAAATGTCTGTGAATGGCAGGTCTCCTAGCAGCTGGTACTAACAAAGGGAGAGTGGCAATGTGGAGAAATGTGTCAGTATCCAGTCAGAGCACAGGGGCTTTGGAGGGCAAGGAGAAGTGGAAACTCCATGCATCTACAGAACTTGAAGGAAATATCACTCAGATAAAGGTAAGGAAAGAAAGAGCATTCCTGCATTTTATTAAGACTTCAGGAACATCAGCTGATTATACCATCTTTGTGAAATTGACAACTATGACTGCTAATCTACAGATGCACACTCTGCCAAAGAGACCAGTCAGCGTCCTGAAGGAGGAAAGCCCTTGAATAAAACAACTTTCAAAACTGAAATGAGCTGCAGTATTAACTGCATGTAGCTGTTGTGTTGCAGACAGGGATGGAATGCCCAGCAATATACACCGAAATGCAAATATGTGGGTTGCTCCTATTTGTTTTCACAACAGATACAAAGATACAACAGATACAAAGAGTACTGTAATACTTTTGATAGAGTCTATTCTCAGCTACAAAGCACTATTTTTCAGTGTAGTCACCACTATTAACTTTGCATTTTTGCCAGCAATGAACAAGAGCTGCATGTTGGGCTTCCAGAAATCTGCACCCCCCACTGTCACCACTGCTGAAATGCATCATCCACCACCTCACCGTGCTCACATCCACTCTTTGGTCTCCTTAAATGTTCAGCAAGTGTCAAATGTCAGTGGCTGTCATTTTTTCCCTCATGAAGTTCAATGGCACATTTGCTTCATATGTACTTCCATGTCAGACATCATGTTGTCAGACTGCCCCTCTGCTGCCATCTGTCACATGGCAACAAAATATAATGGAATATGAGTGGAAAGGTTCAATCTCTACTGCCATCCCTACCTCTGACATCAATCAGTCAAATAGGAGGCACTGCTTTTGGAGCAGCCCTTGTAGATCTCTCTGCCTGGGAGAAGTGGGAGTCGCAGCATCCTTAAATCCAAACATCTCTCCTTCATATTTCTCACGGATTATCTTTTTGGATTCAACACCCTGAAATTATTTTCTGGAGAAGACAGATTGGCAGAAATGTCACATTTCATAGAACTGTAGAATATCCTGAGTTGGAGGGGATCCCAGGGACCCTCAATCCGACCTCTGGCACAGCAACAGCCAGACCTCAACTCTGTGTCTGAGAGCAGTGTGGGGCTGTGTTCTGGAGAGCCTGTTCCATGCCCTCAGTTGGCACCCACCCTCTGTTGAAAAACCTTTTCCTAATATCCAAAGTTTATTTAAATGTACTAACATAGCAAGCAAAAAAAATCTAATTCAAACTATTTCTAGATAGGTTGTTTGTTTTTTTTTTTGTCGTCACTGTCTCAGTGTAAAGTTTGCTTTCACTGGTAGCTAAATAACAAATATATATTTCCATCTGAATATTTTGCACGTGAAAAGAGGTACCCCCCAGAAGGACACACTATACTTTTACATATAAAATGATGTTTTGTCTGCTTTTGTCAGAAAGTGTTGGTTTGCTAATCTGTCTCTAGTAGGTTTAAAACAAATGAACAAAACAACAACCAACCACAAAAACCAACTACTAACACAGGAGCCTCCTCCCCTGACCCCCAGCCTTTGTGTGTGCCCTGGCCCAGCCATGAAGACAGCTTCTATGTGCAATGAATGGTGTAACTTGCTTATCAGGGAGTGTTATCAATTGTGTTGGAGTTCAGGCAGAGCACCACTGTCGGGCACTGTGCATGTGGTTATAGGTTCCAGACTGTAAACATTACAACAGACCAACTCTCACTAACGTCTTAAGGAAGAAGAGCTCTTGGATAGTCAACTGGTTGCCCCAGTGCTTTCTGGCAAGAATTGTCCTGTGACAGGAATAAACATGGTCAGTGTCAGATGCTTTTGTTTAACTGTGAATATGGAAAGACAGATTGAAAAAAGGTGTATTACTTCCTCCTTGACACAGAAATAATTAATCAGCTGTGTGTTAAAGTCTGTCCTTGCAGACAATCTCAGAAGCACATCTTATTGTTCTGTGAATTTTTGAAGTGTAACTTGAATTTTAGAATTGCTCTGCTCTGTACAAGCACTATTTTCAATCCTAAGATAGGATGGGAAAGATACATCTTCATAACACTCACTTAAAAAGTTAGCTGGAACTTCCTCCTTTTCCTTGAAGAATCCCTGTGTTTTCTTGGATCACTTAGTGTGTGACATAGCAGTTTGTTGAGGAATGTGAACTGCTTTCACTGCCATCAAAACTGCAGGAAAGAATGAGGTAATCAAATAAGATACTGCATGTGCAACAAATCAAAGTGTTTTTAACCCCTTTAAGTGTGATTCTCTCACATATACGGTGGTATAATAATATCTTAAGAAGAAAAATGATTTTAATACAAAAACCAGTTCCTTTACTTATACTGTGTCTGAGCAGCTGGGTAACAAGTATAATATTTTCATCTCATAATTCCTAGTTGTTGGTTATAGTTGGACTTTGTGCCATGTATGTGTGCTTGAGTACATGTACATACAGACACGTGTTTATTTCATCCTAGCCCTTCTCATCTCTCTTGAGATGTTGTTGTGACTGTTGAGGTCTTAGAAGGAATTACTCACTGTGCTTTCTTTTCTTGCTCCCATATGCAGTGGGGCTCCCGAAAAAACCTCCTGGCAGTGAACAGCATCAGCTCTGTGATCATCCTCAGTGAGCAGGCCATGTCATGTCACTATAATCAGCAAGTGGCTGCTGTGCAGGTGTCTCCCAGCCTGTTTAATGTGACCTTCTTCAGCACAGGAACCACACACAATCTTCATGTTGATATGACTGTGAATGGAGTCTTCGCTACTAAGGTCACGTTGATCTTTTTGGATATTTGCTCAATTGTTTGCCTAGCTAGGAGTACAGAGACCGGACTTTCCAAGTCCTTAATATAATTCTTTACTATTCCATTTGTATAATAGAAGTATTCTTATAGTGATCATATTGTGTTGGTTTTCACGTGGTGCACTGACTTGGGAGTTCTCTGGGTACTGACTTCAGTTTTTTTCAGTTGCAAATCCTTCCAACCTAACTTACAGGGCAACTGGTAAAAGGTGGCAATCGTGTGAAAAATCTCAGTGTTTCTGCATAAATTACTGCACGAGTCCAGATGAAACTGAGTGCATTTTTTTAATTTTTTTTTTTAGGATGCTGTAGTGTTCTGGAATGGGAAGCAAGTTACTGTCTTTGAGTGCTCAGAAGATACCTTAAGAAATGCAGGTAGGATTTGGAGAACAGCAATGAGCTAATTGTTCAGAGTTGAAGTGTTTGTGTTCCTGAATCATTGAACCATAGAATCATAGAATCACTCAGGTTGGAAAAGATCTTAAAAATCATCAAGTCCAACCACAACCCAACCATCCTACCCTAACTCTAACAACCCACCCCTAAACCATGTCCCTGAGCACCACATCCAAACGGTTTTTAAACACATCCAGGGATGGTGACTGAACCACTTCCCTGGGCAGCCCATTGCAGTGCTTAACCACCCTTTCTGTAAAGAAGTTCTTCCTGATATCCAACCTAAACCTCCCCTGGCACAACTTGAGGCCATTTCCCCTCATTCTGTCACCAGTGAGAAGAGACCAACCCTGCTCTGCTGTTAGCACCTCTCAGATATTGAAAGAGAGCAGTAAGGTCTCCCCTCAGCCTCTTCTTCCCCAGACTAAACAGCCCCAGTTCCTTCAGTCTCTCCTTGTAAAGCACATTCTCCAAGCCCTTCACAGCCTTGTTGCCCTTCTTTGGACCAAAATGAATGGAAAGTTACGTTCTCTTCATTCATATTAACTGTCATTATAATAATATTTTTCACTTATGAATACTAATTAGACTTCATATCCCCACACTGTAGGACAGAAAGGTTATATTATAAAACTGTGGGTCAGTAGTTACACAAGTCATCAGCAGAACCAGAAGTCAAATACCGGCTCCTAGATCTGTGCTTTATTCAATAAACGTGCTGGGATATACCATGTTAATTGACCTCAGAATATGCTGCTATTCTTGTATGAGTTACAAATAAGGTCTTTGATTAAAATGCCTTGGCCTGCTCACACCCCCAAGTTCTTCTCCTCAGGCCTGCTCTCAGCCCATTCTCTCCCCAGTCTGTTTTTGTGCTTGGCATTGCCCTGACCCAGTTGCAGGACCTTCCACTCGGCCTTGTTGAACTTTGTGATGTTTGCACATGCCCACCTCGAAAGCTTGTCCAGGTCCCTCTGGATGCATCCCTTCCCTCCTGTGTGTGAGTGCACCATACAGCCTGGTGTCGTCTGCAAGTCATGTTTGCATAGCACTTGCACAGGAATGGGGAAGGAGTGGGTTCTAGTGTCAGCTCTCAGGAAAAGCTGTTTCATACACTGCTGTATGTACAGCTGGGTAAGGTAAATTAGTTTATTCTGTGATGAATTCTCCCTGAATATTCATTCCTTGAGAAACAGGATATGCAAAATTTCATTAATTCTATCCAAAGTCTCAAGGGATGTTCAGGCTTTGTATTTTAATAACCAAGTTCCCAACAATGAAACTATTTAAAAACCACTCTTTTCTGACAGATGTTCCTCTTTTCAGTGAAGGAACGTGCGAATTCCCTTGACAGAACTTCATACTGCACTACTTGTTTTCTTTGTCATTACCCATGTCAGCACCTTCCCCATCCTCTCTCACTTGTTTTCATGGGCAGAATGTACAAAAAGCCTGTTCACAGAAGGAGTCCCAGCTTTCACTGTAGTGTCAGACTGGAGGAAGACCAGACCACCGAGGAGTTTGGGAACCAGTAGGAGTCATGGGCTGTAAAATGCAGTTGGTGCAAGGTGGAAGTAGTCATTTCCTTTTAAGTCTTTTTAAAACACCAAAACACACACACAGAAGTCCCAGCCATCTGCTTATTGTAATGATGGTTTTATTGTGATTGTTCCAGGCTCTTTTCTTTGTGACTCTCCAGTTCTGTCAGTGCATGGAGAAAATCTGTACACAGTTGAGCCGCATCGGGTCCAAGTCCGGACCTGGCAGGTAAGAGCTGATGAAAACACAGAGCAAGGAATACACCTCACTGGTTTTCAGAGACTGATGTTGCAGTTTAAAAGATAAAAGGAGGTTTTGTAAATCTGTTAACTGTACGCTTGTCACAGGAAAAACCAGTTGGGTTCTTTTACATTTTGAGTTCTTTAGTGTGTCACATTTAACAGCTACTACACTTCAGCTAACAGTAATCAGTATCTATAGTAGAAAGCAGAATTCTTTAAGGACTGCTTATGAGGATCTAAATTGCTAGCATATGAATACATATTACTAATAGAAAACAGAATCTATTTTGAGTGGATGAAAATACCCCCTGTATATTGTTTGTTCCCTGTAGAGTGTTGCTTAAAGCTTGTGGCTTATCCTTGTCAACCATAACCAAAGGGAGAGACATAATCCCTATAGTTCTGATGTAAAATTTTATTTAATATTCAAGAAAAGGTAGGCTTTGTCAGATAAGGAATGATTTCATTTATATATATGCATTATTTATTTTTCCAGCTTCATATTAATGAACATTTAGGGAGCTGTATTCATGCATCCTTCTTTAATGAAAAAAGTTGTATTATCAAAGGGCCAGTTTTTACAGAAGAAAAATTTGAACTCTTTTGGAGACTACACATCTAGTTTTCAACTTGAAGCAGACCATGAGACCTTTTGAAGTTTATGTAAAGAGTAGTTCCTCTCATTTTGCTGATGGTGATTTATCTAATACAGAGATTCATTGGCTGGATTAGGGACAAAATAAAATCCCTCCTAGTTAAACTCAAATGTTCATACCTAGTGTTATTCCTTTCTTCTCAGGGAACAGTTAAACAGCTTCTGGTGTTTTCTGAAGCAGAGGGGAATCCGTGCCTCTTGGATGTCTGTGGAAACTTCCTGGCTGTGGGAACTGATTTGGCTCACTTTAAACTCTTTGATCTCTCTCGCAGGTATTAACAAGCCTTCAAAAACAATCTGTTCATTTTGTGTGTGGGGGGTGGGAAATCTTTAGCTGACTTAAATCCTTTGAAAAGCAGTAATCTCTTTGAATCTCAAGACAATGAGTCTGTATGAACTGATGGCATTTCTGAAGCAAGGGAAGAGCAGAATCATAGAATGATTGGGAAAGTCACGGAACAAATAATGTAGTAACTTAAAGAGGACGGAGAACTTATGGGAGATGTCCAGCCTGGAGAAGAGAAGGCTGCAAGGTGACCTGAGAGGGGCCATCAATATCTAAAGGGGAGCTAAAGAAAGAAGGGGACCTAAAGAAAGAAGGGGACAGACACTTTAGCAGGGTCTGTGGTGAGAGAACAAGGGGAAATGGTTTCAAGCTCAAAGAGGGGAGATTTAGGTTGGATAAAAGGAGAAAGTGTTTCACAGTGAGGGTGGTGAGGCACGGAAGCAGGTTGCCCCATGATGTGGTGGATGCCCCGTCCCTGGAGACGTTCAAGGCTGGGCTGGATCAGGCCCTGAGCAACCTGATTCAGCTGTGGTGTCCCTGTGCATTGCAGGGAGTTGGACTAGATGGCCTTCAGAGGCCCCTTCCAGCTCTATGATTCCATGATCATTTCTGCTGACAGTCTCAGAAAAGCTGACAAAAAGACACAGCTTCTAATAAATCAATGAACTTGGATCCAATGAATCCATGAAAAAAGTGAATTGTGGGTGCTGTTCTTTCTCCTGCTTAGGTTAAGTGAGAGGTTTATTTAATTTTGTTCAACTTATACTGTGTTCCCATTCTGATAAACTGCTATGGCCATGTGAAAGATGTGCCTGACACAGTGTTCAACTCAAAAAATTATTTGCTAATGATGAGGTTTTTCCAAATTACCTTTAAGAGTAAAATAATCTGTGTTCTCATGTACTGTGACCAGAGAACTGCTAGACTGAGGTTGCCTACGTACTACATAGGACACAATTTGAAGGTGTTGGTTTTGGGCAGACTGTAATCAGAACAAGCATTAGATTGGTTATGATTGTTGCTAGTGAAAGCAACTAGCTGAGCTCCTCTCTACTGTGTTAAATTGTCAGTGATAATAATGATAATATCCCTGATACCCCTTCTCAAATGATGACAGCATAGCTATATTCATAGCAGTATTAAAGCTAATACTGTTGACTTAAAATAAATGAGAGGTCCAAACATGTAACAGGAAGAATGTCATTTTTACAGAATCAAAATTTCTTGTATGGAATCATATTATGGGTCTGAGTTATTGTCACTTCTTTCTGTCCCATTCTTTGGATTGACGAGGTTTGTCCTCTTTGCTGAATAATTACTGGGTTTGTATCTGTAGAAGTGATGAGATTCTTTAGAGATGGGACAGTCTTTGGAACTTCTGTACAGTTGGAAAGCAACTGGTATGACATAAATGCAACCCCCACTCCCCAGTGATTTTTCTTTACTTTTGTTCCAGAGTGTTTTTTCCATACGCTGAACTTCAGTGAAAGGCTATATTCATCATTACAGTACTGTTCAACTTACACAGCAAAATGCAGTTCTCTGAATTTAAAACTCTGGTAGGATGCTCTTTTTGGATTCCTGGAGAAGCATGGAAGCTCGTTCTTGCTAATTCGTTGAGGAATGAGCCTTTCCTTCCTTAACTTCCAAAAGAAAGGCAGGTCATAGCAGGAGAAGCAAGAGTCTGGGGCAATGGTCCTGGGAGGTAGAAATAATTTGTTGGTGTTGTTTAGAAGGTTTTTTATTTTTTAATTTGAAAAAAGTTTTGGCCAACAGCTATTGTCACATGCTTGCCACTACATGACTTGAGTCTGTTCCATTTCACAGAGAGGCAAAAGTGCACTGCAATAGCAAGAATTTCTCTGAGCTGTTTCCTGGCCTTGGAAACATTGCATCTATCAAGTGCAACGCTAACGGCAGTAAAGTCAGCATCCTTGTTAGCAAGGTGAGGCAAAACTTCATTTAGCACCCTGTGGCCTCAATACCAGTTAATAGACTGGTGTACAGGTCAAGATGATTACTAAAGATGCAAGATTAACTTCACAGAAATAAACCTTCAGCTTCTGTGTACTGTTTTGGGACTGCAAAGTCCACATCCAAGCATGTAGCTAAATGCTTAAGTTAAGCTGTGTTAAGGTTTTGTACTTTTGCTGAGAAGAGCACAGCAATGAAAGCAGTAATCAGCACAGAAGCTGTTCTGACGCATTTCAAAGGAATCCAAAGCAAACTTGCTGGAATAGAAGAACAGCAAGTAATTTTCTGATACTCCTTCCAAAGAATGTTCTTGTATGATTACAAGTACACGAAACTGTAAGAATATGAATCAGATGAGATAAACATACTATCCAGACTCTCAGCCTTTTTCTTTAACTGTGTGCTTCAGCAATATTTTTTGCCTTCTTGTAGGCCAATGGGAGTACTGATTCCAAGATCTGTTTCTATGATGTTGAAATGGACAAAGTTACACTCTTTGATTTCAAAGCTGAACAAGGGATTGGTAAAGATAAGCTTTCTTCTGGGCATTGTACTGACAGGTAAGTAACAATTCTCAGCATTATTACTTGAGACTTTAAGATAATCTGCCCTGTGAAGGTGAGCAACATCTTGATACTGGCATTACTCTGTGTAGGAGATTATACCATTTTAATTGTTTTCTCAAGAATCACAGATTTGTAGGTGTGGGAAGGGACCTCTGAAGATTATCAAATCCAGTTCCCCTACTAAAGCAAGATTCTTACAGTAGGTTACACAGGAAAGTATCCAGATAGGTCTTGAATATCTCCAGTGAAGGAGACTCCACAGCCTCTCTTCGCCGTTTCTTCCAGGGCTCTGTTACTCTCACTGTAAAAAAGGGTCTTCCTTGTGTTTGTATGGAACTTTGTGTTCCAGTTTTGTCCATTGACACTTCTTCCATTGCTGCACACCACTGAAAAGGGTCTTGCCCCATTGACTTGACTTCTGCGCTTTAAATATTTATAAAGTGATGAGATCCCCCCCTAAGACTTCTCCAGACTGAAGAGTCCCAGGTATCTCAGCCTTTCTTTGTACAGAAGATGCTCCGTGCCCCTAATCATCTTTGTCACCCTCCACTGGACTCTCTCTAGGAGATCCCTGTCTTTTCTGACCTGAGGAATGTGAAACTGGATGCAGTATTCCAGATGTGGTCTCATCCAGGTCTCGTTGGTGTGTCAGCCACTCCTCCCAGCTTTGTATCATCAGCAAATGTTCTGAGGGTGGATTCTGTCCCTTCATCCAAGCTGTTTATGAAGATACTGAACAAGACTGGACACAGCACCAACCCCTGGGGAGCACCACTGGTTACAGGCCTCCATCTATACTCTGTGCCACTGATCACAGCCCTCTGAGCTCTGCCAGTTCACCTATTTATCTACCCATCAGTCCACTCATCTGTCCCACATTTCCTAACCTTCATTATAAGGGTGTTGTGGAGACTGTCACACACTTTGCTGAAGTCAAGGTATGCAAAATCCACCGCTCTCCCTTCTTCTACCCAGCCAATGATGACAACATAGAAGGCTACCAGATTGGTCAAGCATGATTTCCCCTTGGTGAAATCATGTCGTCTACTCCTGATAACCATCTTTTTTTCTAACTGCTTGGAGATGTCATCCAGAACAAGATGCTTCATCACCTTTCCAGGGAAGAAGGTGAGGCTGACTGGCCTGTAATTTCCCAGATCCTCCTCCTTGCCCTTTTTGAAGACTGGAGTGACACTGGATATTCTCCAGTCTTCAGGCACCTCTCTCATTCTCTAGGACCTATAAAAGATGATAGAGACCAGTTTGGCACTCACAAATTTAGTCTGACTAAACAGGTGCATTGGCAGCCAATCAACCTGCATCCCTGACTCTCCCAATCCATTAACTAGGGAGTATCAAACAAAACTATGTAAAGCAAGCTTAAAATAATGAGGAGGGGTGATGGTTCTTCGGACAACATGCAGCTGAGTGAAGGGTGTTCCTTGCCAAAGGAAGCCCACATAGGATCAGTCTGGGAAGGACAGCATCCCAGGGAGGGACCTCATGCTGGAGTGGAGTAAGAGAGCAAGGAGGAAGGAGCAGCAGAAATGAAACAAAGCATTATGGACTGACTGCAAACCTTAAGGGAAGGAGGTGGAAGAGGGTGGATGAAGATGGAAGGTATTTTTAGTTTGATTTTGCTTTCCTGCTCTAAGCTGCTATTAGTGGGCAATAAACTACATTAATCTCCTTTATGCTGAGCCTTTTCCCAATGGTGGTAACAGGTGAGTGATCTCTCTATCTTTTTTTTCAATACGTGAGCTTTTTTCTTCGTTCTTCCCCCCTAGCCTTTTGAGAAGGAAGAAGTAGAGAGTGGTACATGGAGCTGAGCTACCTATCAGTGTGAAAACACCACAGCACATTAGAAATCCTTGTAGCAATGAGACAAAATGCAGTCAACTGGGTTTTCTAATACAGTGGAACATGAGGGTAGAAATTTCGATTTGTTTTTACAGTGATTTTTCTTAATGAAGTTTTCTGAAGAAATAACAGCCTTAAAATAGAAGGTGATTTAGTCCTTTTCCAAAACTAGGTGTTATGGGCAAAAAAAATTATGGTGTGATTTTCAGTGCTGCAAAATAAAGTGAACAACCCATTGCAAATTTTGTCAGTTAGGCAAATGTGAGTAATGAAAGTTGTTTTCAAGTGTAGTGTCTTGTGCAGCCCATAAGAGGCCACTACAAACTAGTATTACAGCTTCACTGACTTGTGAATAGTAGTGTCTGCGTGAGCGATTCATTTATCAGTGCTTCATGTTAGAGCATCCTGAAATCAAAATTAAAATTAAGTAAACTCGTCAGAAAATAATCTACAGTGGATGATGATCTTGGAGGTCTTCTCCAACCTCAGTGATTCTGTGATTCTGTGTTCCTTGGTTTTGATAGGTCTGTTGTGGAGTATCCAGAGCTGCACAATCACATCCCTGTTTGCCATTTCTGGGACTGCAGTGAACCCAGACTTTTTGTATGTGAAACAATTCCTGAAACAGGTGTACGGTCCCCAGGTCAGAAGAACAACCAGACTGAGAGCACGGTATGGTTGGTTTTGTTTCTCTTTGCTCTATGTGATGTTTTCCCTATCCAAGCAGTAAATCATTGTACTTTTTTTAACTTGTAGAAGTGGTTGTTTGCATTATCTTGTAGAAAAACTGAAAGCTTTTATTGATCAGAAACAGTCTAAGAAAGAGCTTTCATCAGTTCGACAACTGTTCCCTGCTTAACCTGCTAACCTGCTTGTAGTGGCCCTTAAAAATTTCTCTGTAGAAAACAATGTCTTCCTAAATATGCCTTTAATTTATAAAGTCCATGTTCAATTAGTGTTCTGATTTGTGCATAATTTCAGTTAAATCTTTTCCATTTAGAGATGGAAAGCTTTGTTTCTTTTGCTGGCTGAACTGACTGTAAAAAAGGTTCTGGAAAGGTCAACAGAAAGTGGTATTGTGAAGAATGGAATAGGGATGGCTCAAAATACCTTGCTAGGGTCTTCCAGCAAAAGAAAAGAACACTTCAACCTAATATTCCTTATGTAAAGAAGCAAAAATGTTTCTACATAAAGTTGAAAAAGAAAGGAGTGCAACTGGATTTTTGGCCCTTATTCCATGGAAGTTTTTGCTGTGGTTACTGTTTAAGAAATGAGAAGTCTGATAAACTTCAATTGAAAATAAATGCTTGTATTTTGACTTGATAAAGCAGCCATGCTTTATTGTTTAAGATGTTTATATTGTTTTATATGTTTAAATGGTTGGTGTATTCCCTGGGAACTCAAAGCAGTGAACTGCTGAAACTGGACCAGAAATATTGTTGTGTTTAAAAAATGCTGGAAACGAGAGTATCTGACAGACCTGTAGAACATCAGTCTGTAGCCTGGGGCTTCTCTTTTTATGACTGATGAAGTTAGTTCCTGAGATGCAGAGGTCGAGGGCCCTTTGCAGTAGGAACAGCCTGAAATGCAGAGTGAATCTCTGGCAGCTCGCTACAGGGAGGAAGTGCGTGGCTCTGCTCTTTCCAGCAGGTGTGGGTGAATGGATGTCATTATTTTTGAGTGAAGGTTTTGCCAACTGAATATGGAAAATAAAAACAAAACGAGAGAAGGATATTGCATCATAAAAACAAAACAATTCTCGACTTTCTTTTCCAGCTGGATGTTTGGGTTGTATCATTCTTCAGTACTGAAGAACATGGCCTTTTGCTTCAGGACAGCTTCCCACTGCCTTCGTCGTATGAGGTTCTTCTGGGTATTGATGTACCACATTTTTACTTTGCAAAAAAGGTGAGGGCATCTTTCACAATTCCTTCCCCTCCTATAGGTTCAAAATTTTCATTCTGTAGGATTCAAATGAAACCAAACTGAGCCTGCAATAAGTAGGGCAAATCCGATGGCAGCTGTAGCAGTGACATGAAGTTAATATTCTTCCTGAGTATTGTGATCTGGATGTGATGTGCAGACACAGGAGTAGTTACCAGGCATTGCAACTAAGGAGGTGTTCAAAAACAACAAAACCCCATTGTTATGTAGGCACCATTCTTTTGCATTTGAGGTTTGTGTCAGGCTTGCATATCCCATAACAGCAGACAGTTCCTGCTAGCTTCAGCAGCAGCAGCAGCCCGCTTCCTGTTGGAATGGAGCTGACTTCCCACAGAACAGCAAGGAGTGAGAATGCTCACTTTGCACTAACACTGCATGCTTGCTGCAAACACTAGAATTGCATGCTGTAACATCTTGGAAACTCAGCTATGAAGACAAAATTGTCTCTATCTTAATGCCATGTGTACTGGAGAAAGTTAAGCCTATTCTCTACAGATTGGTTTTCTAGTTAAGCTCTGATATGAGTATCTTAGTTAAGATCTATGATTATAATGAAATCTCCTGCAGCCTTCTTGTAGGGGAACCTATTTTGTTTATTCTGCCAAGGCATTTTGGGAACTTAATGTGTCTTCTAATCCCACGATTTTCTTCTGAATGACACACTAGTGTGATTATGAGTCTAAGTTAAGAAACTGGGTTAATTTAAACAAGGAGACTTTTACCTAGATATTTTTCCACTTTAAATATATTTAGCTGTTAGAGCTGCTCTCTTACTTTCCCTTTCCCATCAGTTTGAAACGTCAAAGATTTGCTGCATTTTCCACTCTGTTAACACTTCCCTCATCATGACCTGTGCTATTTTACTTTGATACTGCATCTCTTGTTTTTCTCTCTCCCCATCTGTGTGGATTATTGCTGCCATTAGTTAATTTTTTGGAGGGACTTTGTCTATAAACCTGTAAGTATCTGTAACTGTAATATTCAGCTCTGCTTCATTGTCTGCTTTTCTCTTGTTTGCATTTCCTTCCTTCAGAAGGATTACATGCATCTTTGTGACTAAATTAATTGTTATGTACTAGTTCATTTTGGAACCGTGTTTTACTACATGGGTAATCTGCTTTAAATACAACAAATCCAGTTGATGCAACAGCTGATGGTGATAGTCTGATAATGGTAGGACAAGGGGGAACAGTTAACAGTTTTAAACTAAAAGAGAGGTTTTAGGTTAGATATTAGGAGGAAATCCTTCACTCAGAGGATGGTGAGGCACTGGCACTGCTGCGCAGAGCTGTGGGTGCCCATCCCTGGAGGTGCCAATGGTCACAGGGCAGCTGAGCTGGGAGGCACAGCCCATGGCAGGGCTGGGGGGGCTGGGAGGACCCTTCCCACCAAAGCCAGTTGTGGTTTTATGAAGAAGTCTGTCTTGACTGAGTTTCACTCCACAGTTCCTTCTTATTGTAATATCTTTCCTGGTTCCACAAATTCCTCAAACTGTAGTCAAACCAATCTGTGCTTTTATCTTTTACTGTACCTAATAATTTTTAAAATAGTGTATTTAAAGTACTATATTGCAGCAGCTTCTGCAACTCTTAATACTTTTCTCTACTCTAAGGCTGGTATGGGGTATATGTGAAATTTGGTGTTGTTCATGACTCAGATGTTATTGGATTATGAAAATTGTCGTATTACACTCTAGACAGATAATATGATATTGGTGATTGACTTGATTCTTATTCTTTGTCTGAACAGTGGTTAAATTCCTTTGGGGTGGTTTTCAGTGACCAGTGAGGGTATTACTGAAGGTTTAGAGGCTCCAGAACTACGTATTGTATGCGGAACATCTTGAATCTGAGGTTTAGTATTTATAAGCTTCACATGAAGGCAAGAATAAACAAACTAGTTCTATATTGTTAACTTCCAGAATAGCAGATTCATTTTTCAGAAGAAACAAACCCCAGAGAAATTTGTCTGAAACCTTCAGAAATCTGGAGACTTGAAATAACAGCTAAGGCTGTAATAGCAGCTGTTAGGATCACGGCTGCCTCTTCTGGGTGGCATCCTAAAAATCCCTGCACTGTCTATCCTGAAGTATTGTGATTGTTCATTCTGAGTCACGACATATAACCTTGCCTGTGACATTTCATATTCTGGGGTATTTTCTAGGAAGATCAGAAGCATTGTGGCTGTTGTCATGATTGGTTGTGGTTTTGTAGGAATAGAAATCTTGGGACTGCAGTGGAAATTTAACATTTGGACATGAAAGGAGTAAGCTTCATCCTCCTTGATACCTAAATGATAATGTGCTCGTTTTAGCCAGGGGAAACTGGGAAAGGACAAGCGGAGTCAGGCTCAAAGGTCTTGCAGATGGCTTCCAGACGACCCATGAGAGATTTCATTGGATTAGGAGACTGTGATAAGGCTACCCGGGATGCCATGCTGAACTTCAGCTTCTATCTGACTGCTGGGGACATGGACGAGGCGTTCAAATCCATCAAGCTGATAAAAAGGTACAACGTGTATCTGTATGCATTTCCTTATGAGTAGAGTATATTTTCAATGAAAGTTGACATGACATTCTGATCCTCTTAATTTCACTTACTGCTTTTATTTCATTTTCCCTTTCATTCTCAGAAAGATGAAATCTTTATTTTACTGACTTTCAACGTAAACTCTGCTTATTCTTTGTCCACAAGGCATTGTGAACTGCAGATTTTGATCACTAACTGGGAGAAAATGAGTAACCTTCCCCTGTGCCTGGCACAAATTCTGCGTTATCACCAGAGGAGAGTGAACATTCATAATTTTATTTATACATCTAAAGTAATCACAGTCATACCAAGTATTACAAATTTACTGACCACATAGCTGATTTTTAAATTTAAATGTACATTATTATAATACGGATATTGCAATATTAGAAGAAATAATATAATGTCTTTTAAATATTCAAATAGTTTAATTTTTAAAAATCCCTGCAATGAATCATAGCATGTTGCTTCTAGGAAAGGTAGAGCTTTTCCAGGAAGTAATGCAGGCGAGTGAATACAAAATTTAGTTGGTTTTTACAAACCTACTGTTAGAAGAAACTCTTTGTCAGCATTAAGGTATTCTATCCTGATAGTCTAGAACAATACAATCGTTCTGGAGCATCAGTCTCTGCGAAGGGTTGCTGACTATGAACATGATGCAGAGTAGCAGTTGGGGTTGAGTTTCTTATTGCATCAGAACTGAGTTTGAGAACAGAATTCAAGAGCCAGCTTGATGATCACGTTTTAAGTGTGGCAAAATATGGTGAAAATAATAGTAAAGAGGAGCAGTGTATCGGCTGGGAGCAACACAACAGTGTTATGCAGTCTGTGACGTTCACAGCTCATATTCACAGCTCAGTCCTTCAGATCTGTCAGTAAGTGCTCAGAGCAGCCTCTGTTGACAACTCCTAAACATGTGTCATTGCAGCTATCCTCGTGTCTGAAGTATTTTGGCATTACAGTTTTTGACCTGTTGTTTTTTCTTCCTGAAGGCTGCATGCACGTGCCTTGTGAGTCCTTGTGAGGCTAACAGGCATCGTGCCTAGTTCTGAAGGTACTAATTTTCATTTCATTACCATATGAAGTTAACAGACAGATGCTTTATCTCATGGCAAAGTCTGTGTTTGTCTTATTCTCCAGTTTATGTGCTGGAGTAGCAGGTACTGTCTCCAATATTCCATTAGGTGCCTCCGAGCATTGCTGGGCAGAGCTGGATGTCCTAACATAGCACTCTAATGTGGAAATTGCCTGGCAAATGTTAAAGCAAGCCAGGAAGAAACCTATGTGGCCTGAAATATCAATTATTACTAATAATTTCCTGTGAAGCAAATCAGTAGTATCTATGATTATGAGAGAATCCAGGTAATCACCTTCTGTAGTTCTGCCCACAGTGTAATACTGCAGGAGAATTTCAGCACCATGTAAGGCCTGTTCTAGTGGCATGCCCTTTTCGTTTTTAATGGCGTCTATTTACATATAGGATAAACCTGAAGCTCTCTCCTAGGGTGAAAAAAGTAGTATCTGGAGAAAATGCAGCTGAATTCTTCTGCATTCCCTTACCAATTAGAACTATTAGACTTGTAGTTCTTGCTTTATGATGTGGCTTGAAAAGAGTAGGTGTTGCAGTTAATGAGGAGTTCCTTGAAATGGATGAATGGGATGGGGATGGAAGACTAAAAAGCCATGAAATCTTAACAGCTGTTAAAAATCATCACTTACTCTACAGTGAGTTTTCTGCTTTCTCAGACTGCCTGTTAACTGCAAAGGAAAGCTGGTCATCACTGGCCTCCCAAAGTTTTCGATGTTACTAAGGGAGCAAGACAACTTTATCCAGGCAGTAAATGTTAGGTTGTCTCTCTTCTGTAGTCTCATGGGATCTGTCTGCACCTGCTGACACATAGCTGTGATGCTGTCAGGATTCTGACAGCCCAATATTCTGCACTGTACAGTAGAGGAAGATGGCAATATAAAATATATAAAATTATATGTTTTATACATATGTATATAGATGGAGCCCATCCAAATAATAACTGAGGGCCTCTGCCCACGAGAGTGAGCTTTGTGATGTCCTTCAACCCTTACTTTTAAATTATAGCATATATTTATATAAAACACCGACGCAGATCTCCCTGGAGATCTTTCCCCTTTCAAGTCCCTGCATTCAGCACGGTGACTCCACGTAGTCGTTTTCCAGGCCCCGGCGAAACCGCGCGGTCAGGGTGCGGCTGATGACAATGACCCGCGGCGCCATGCAGTCCTCGCGCCTGTGGAGGATGTTCCATATGAGGATGGCAGCTGCCAGTGTGGCCAAAAGACAGGCTCCAATGTTCAGGTAACAGGACCATGAGAGGTTGGTGTATGGTCCGATGCGGTAGAAAGTCACCAATCCAATGACCAGAACAAAACCTGCAAAGAGTGTGAGAATTGATTCAGTTACTCTTGAATTTCTGTAGTGGACGGATGCTACAAGCTGGATATTCCTGAATCTGTAAAGCCTTTCCCTTGCTGTTACACCGTGCTGTGTGTGTTCTTTAACTCGCGTTTAAACGTGATGGAAGATGCAAAACGAGGTGCCTGCAAAGCAGTCTTAACATTCAGCTTGAATCTGTTGACACCTGTCTAAATTTCTTACTCCTACTTGGTCGTATTTCATGTTTTATCCTTCTGTGCTGCAGAAATGATAAAATATATATTCTGTGTGTGTGTGCATGAAAGCAAACAAGAGAAAAAGAAAGAGGGTGAAATCACTGGGTACGGTCCTACTTTTTTCATGTGCCTGCAGAAGCTGCCAGAAGCTTCTGTTCCTTTTCCAACAGTAAGCACAATATTAAATTCCTTAAAAGGCAGTTAATACAGGAATAACAACAGTGCACTGATCTAGTGTTTCCATCCACAGATGTCACAACGTCACTTGCAAAAACATGGGAGAAAGAAAAAGATTTTCCTCTTTTTTTTTTTTTTTTTTTTGTGAGCACCACTGATAAATAGTTGTCATATTGCTGATAAGGTGAGGTGACTTTTCTAGTCGTGCAGGATATGCATGTTAGAACAGGTTGAATCCATGTTCCTCGACTCCCACTTTTTAATGTTAAGAAGAATGCCCTTTCCTTGAAGAATGCAGCAGTAAGCACAGTTCGTTTTCTGCTCTCTGTTCTTCGTATTTGTTTTTCTATCCCTACTCCTAAATAAAACTGCCTTTCAGCTGAGACAATTTCGATTGAAACAGAGGCAAATATGTTTCTAACACAAAAAAAGGCTTTCTCTTAGTTCTCATACCTTAACCACCACCGTATCACAAGACATTGCACTGACAAAGGGAGCCCTTCACAAAGGAAGATGAGAATAAACAAAGGCCCATAAGCAGCCAGAAGGGTTTGTAGATGCTGTCTTCTGAAGTGCGTGGGCAAGGACAAGTGAAGAGGAAGCCTTTCTTTAGGAAGCACCAGAGTCTGCTCTGTTTTCTCAATTAGCTGCACTTGGAGACTGTTCCCACAGATACACCACAGTGCTCTGAAATGGTCCGAGGTGCCTGGCTCTGCACCTCGGTTTTTCTGTGGAAGAGCACAGCCTGAGTGTCATTCTGTCAGGTGTTTCTTCTTTTAGAAAAACGCTAGCAGTGCAGTGAAGAGGAAAGATGCAAATTATACACAAGGAGGAAGGAAAAAGTAGGGACATTAAATACAAGTAGGAGGGGAAGAGAGCCCATCGCCACTCAAATAAGCATGGCTTTTATTATCCTGAGTCACTGCAAAGACTTAGTCCTCCTTATAAATGGGTGTGGAGTGAGTATTAACTCAGGAAATATCTGAATGCTTTGGTGTTCTCATGCCTGCCTAGAAGGTGATTTCTAACTCAATTGCATGGTGCATCTTCTCCTACAGTAGCTTTGTCCCAGAGGTACCAGAGGTGGCTTGCAGAGAGGCATTTCTGCCTAAGGATATACATGGAAGAAATAGGTTCTAATGGTAGGAATTGGTCTTTGCTGCCATTTTTCCAGTCTGCAGAAGCATTTGCTGCAAAGGAAGTCTAACATACTCTGGATGAGTTCTAAAATGTTGAGTCAGTGTAAGGACAGTGATGAAACTCCTCCTTGATTTTGTCAGTGAGGCTCTCTGGGGCATCGTGAAGTCTAGCAGCTGTGTGATTGTTCAGTCTAATTATAAATGAACAAATTTCATCTGGGAAATGTGGCCACATGGAACACAGTTACAGACATCAGTGAGCTGTGCAGTGACTGCTCATCAGCACTCCAACGTGGGTCTGCAGGCTTTTGGATTCCTTGTTAAAATATACATCAGTTGGAAAAGAGGGCAGTTTTAACCATAGCTGAGTTGGAGAGGGGATATTAACACACAGGTCATCTACCATGATTTGCTAAGTGTACCAGTTTGAAAGTTGCTTCTTGATTCCTGTTTGATGAAATACTGAGTGATGGCTGAGGTAGAAAACTTGTGAAACTTAATTGTCAAGCATAAATTGACAGGCTTAAGTCTTTTTTTGATCATAAGTGTTGCACGACATGCTGTATAGCAGATTATGCATGCTTTTTAAAAATCCTGGTTGTTTTGAAGCCAGACTTGTCATCTACATCCTTGAATATGGGATAGAATGTTGAAGGTGTGTCACTTGTCTTTGAAGGAGTCCACTTTGCTTTATATTCATGTGCTTTGCTCATCTGAAAGGGGAAAAGTTCTTTCCTTGTGCAGTCAAAACCCACTCTGAATTTGATGTTGTTTGGGCCTTCCAGAATGCCCCTTTTGTCCCCACAACTCCAGTTAATTGTGCTCTTCCTTTTCTGTGAAGTTTCCTTGATTGCTTTTGAATTCTCTTTATGTTGTTCACTGTTTTCTGGGTCCTGTATGATTTTTGCCTTTATGGTTAGCAGTAATAGCACATAAGATTCTGGTGTAGCTGGGAAATAAAATAGTTTTGTTTCATTTCCAGAGTAACACATTTACTGCAGTCTTCTTGAGTTCAGTGTCTTGGTTCTGTAATGTCATGGTTTTGAGAGCAGAGTGCACCAGCTGTAATGTGCTTGTGGAGAATTTGTCTCTTCTCTATTTGAGGTCTTTAGGTTTTTATACAACTGTTTTGCTCTTTACAGATTGCCATCCACTTTTCAATGGCTGATAGATACCACTTTTCTCATATAAAGACGGGAAGCTGAGAGAAAAGGAGGCTGCTTGTAATTCCTATGGCAAAAATTGCAGGCCAGTTTCTTCTCCTTCTGGTTAATTTTAACCAGAGGAAGGAAGGAGGGCATTGAGGTGCAAAGCAAGGGACCCATCTTACTGATGAGTCTGCCTGGAGCATCATAAAATTCTGTTACCACTTTTCTTCTTGAGTTCCTTTTTTCCAGTTTACATTTTCACGGGGAATAAAAAAAAAACACATTAAATAGTACAGGAAAAAAAAGTGTGATGCAAACCATAAGAGCTGTCAGATGCACTGGCTGGATTTGAAATAGCTTAATTCATGTGCATTTTAATGATGGAGTTAAATTTATTACTTACTGAGCAGGAACAAGCTTTGAACCTAACAGCAACCACTTACAGGTACCTCTGAGGGTCAGTTTTAATTGTTAATAGTCCACTTTACACTACCTTGCAGTTGCTCTCTCGGAAGAGGAAGCTAGGTGAGGATCACCAGCTGCACAGAGTAACCCTGGTGGCAGGTAGTGCCTTGCAGCACAGTGCTCAGCTGCTGAATTGTGACTGATGCCTTCCTGACAGCAGGTCTATGAGTTTTTACTGTTATCTGTAACATGCAGAAGTAATGGATCACTTATTTTTCCCATTTCCTTACTGAAAGTCAGATCTGCTTGTTCTGGGAAAAGTCTTTGGGACTGTGTGTGAGCTGTACTCCCCTGGGCATAACTTTGCCCCATCATTTGCCTTGTTTAGCTGAGGCAGCAGTAGTCAGTTCCTTATGGCACTATACAGGTAAATAAATGCTGTAGGAATACTTTCAAGCCTTTTTTTTTTTTTTTTTCCCCAAACAAACAGCTTTTAGTTATATTGGTTATCTTTTTATTTCCTGCTTATTTATCACTTATGGCCAATTACTGTCCTGAGTGGCTGCACATCAGTGTGTTAGATGGGCTGATTTCATGAGCATCCTTCTATCTGATGGAGAAATTATCTGCCAGGAAAAAGAACTAAGGCTTCCTTACAGTGCCCAAAATAAAACTATTTATGTTAGCAAGACCATTTCCCTTCACAGGCCCTTTGCCTGAACCCTAGATCAGATGAGCAACCAATCATGCAACAGGCTTTCTCTTCTTTTGCAGTTCTGTGCCAGTGTCTGAACGAGAGGGAACTGGGAGATAATCAGTTTCAGAGCTCCCTGACTTGGCAGATAGCAGGAGTGAGTCACTGGAGCTCTTCAGTGAAAAACATAGCATCTGTTTAGAATTCTTTGCTATGGGCTAGACAGGAACTGACATGTAAGAGAGAAAAAAGCATGACAGAAGTGGGAGAGTTGGAAGCACATTACTCTACAGTTTCCACAATTAATCAGGGAAAGTAGATATATATGTGTATATGTGTGTGTACATAATTTTGGTAGGCCTCTTTTACATGGCTATATCCAAGTTGTCTGTTCTGTCAGGCTAATGGGTAAAACCTTGAAAGTTATCATGTGTACCACACAAATCCTAGTGTGTAGTGCAGTAGTAACTAATTTCTGTAATGAAAGAGAGTGGAACTGGAATTTGACTAATATCTTACTAACATAGCTAAAGCAGAGTATTTTCATGGAGTTATCATCTCCTGCTTTTTTACAGCCTTCACTGTGGTCGTTACTAGCAGTAGGAATTTAAATCAATATTTTAATGTGTTGTCTTGAATATTCCTGAAAATTCATGCAGTGTACTGGAACAGGCTGCCCAGGGGGGTTGTGGAGTCTTCTTCTCTGGAGATATTCAAGACCCAACTGGGCCCCTACTTGTGCGACCTGCTGTAGGGAACCTGCTTTGGCAGGGGGTTGGACTCGATGATCTCTGGAGCTCCCTTCCAACCCCTATGATTCTATGATTCTCTGATTCATTATCACTTGTGAAAATCTGCTGTAGGAAAAATGGTGCTGGAATTCAACTCCTGCTGGTAGTTATACAAAATGGGTTTAAATCAGTTGTTAATGTAAATATACCAATGTCTTAGTCTTGTTGAACTTCATCCCATTGTCCTCAGCCTGTCCAGGTTGTTCTGTAGGGCCTTCCTGCCCGGGCAGATCAACACTTCCCCCAGTTTGGTGTCATCTGCAAACTTACTGAGGATGCACTCAGTGCCCTCAATGCCCTCATCTCTCATCAATAAAGATATCAAACAGGACAGGCCCCAGTACTGACTCCATGACAGATGGATATAACTCCATTCACCACCAGTCTCTGGACCCGGCCTTCCTGC